TTTTTGGAGTTTATGTCATGTAACACTAATCTAAAGATTTTCAGTCGTGGCTCTTTGCATGCATCAGTTATCTCATACCCCAATAAATACAGCGAAAACTTTGAGTGTACAGTATGTCATCTCACTCTGTTCATCCCAAGTCATGTCTGTGAATCTCTCCTGTATGTCTGCATGATGAGAGTAGGGGTGATGTAGCAGTCAGCCTGAAAAAGAATAAATCACTTTGCAGTGTGGCAGCAGATGACAGCCAGAGGGTATAGTTGGAGGATGGCAGCAGGCATGAGGGCCAGTCACACTGACTTTCTTTATAATATTATCAGGCAGTTGTGAGTTGCCAGGGCAGGTTGTGTTTACCACCAGTAATTCATCATATGAAAGCAGGGACCACACAGGGATGCAGCAACTGAGGTGCTGAAGTTGCTGTTTTTGTAGAGCTGGCTGTCAGTGTGCATTTGTGTGTGTGTGTGTGTGTGTGTGTGTGTGTGTGTTTGAGGAGTGAAAACAAAAAGACAGTGAATTCATTTTGACTGTAATGTCTTTTTAGTATTTTGTGCATAGGTGTTGCATACTTGAAGCAAACTTTGCCATATGTTTAGTACAATGAGATCTTTGGTGCGTAAGCCGAGAGCGGTGACAGAAGTGCAACCTACCCTTGCAGGTCCTGAAACATTCATGAGTTCCTCAGTTCATACTGCTCCAAAGAGGCCTGTTTGATTTCATTGTATAATTCTGTGTTTCTGTTCTAGCTTCTACTGTGCCAATGAACCTCTGTTTATTTGCCAGGATATTTTCTGTCACTGCTCCCTCAGCTCACAAGGCAGAATAAAATATGACTTTTCATCATAGAAAGGATTCATACAGTAGGCTGGTGCAAAATGGGCAACCACAACTCACTTTAGGTAATACCTCCAACTGACTTCATAATATCTTGACTGCAATCTTGCTATTAAATCTAAATGTGACTGTATTTTATGTTGTTCTAATAGTGTGCTAACAATGTTTGTAATAGCTTTTATTTGCCACAGTGAAGCACAGTTTGTCTATGAAGGCTTTAAATCACAATATCTATCTATCTATCTATCTATCTATCTATCTATCTATCTATCTATGCATGCACTGCACTGCACTGTTTACTGTAAGGCAATACATGCATTGAAGTGTAGGTGAACTGTGATCAAATGGCGCCCACTAGTGCTGAAATAGTTGACCTGCATTCTCTGGAACTGATTTACAATAATTGGTTTTCACATACTGCAGCATTATCCTTCACAGTTTAACTCACAGGTTCTGACTGTTAATATTGTGTGAAATGACAAACACCAAGAAGAGGACAAGAAAGGAGCACTTTTGGACAACACACCTTCAGTGCTTGTTTAGTCTTAGCTCACATCCCAGTTATTACCTGCTGTGCTTCTTGTGAAGCCAAACAAACTAAGAATATGTGCAGAAAACTATGAGCACGAAACCTTATTCTTGCTGTAAGAGGAGGAGGGGAAGTTGAGGAGAGGGAGATGAAGCGATGGGCTGAGAGACTCTCCTCGCAGGTTTGAGGCCAGTTTCTCCTGGGCTAAGAGTGGATTGTAGGACTCATTCTTTCCATCAGGTCTTTATATGCGCACATAAACCCATATGGATATAAATACACACCCTTTGCATAGAGTGTGAAAACAGATGTTCCAACCAAAAATCTGCCCAAGATTCACACACACACATTCTGTTGTGGTACATTAAGTCAGATGAGTTTTTCTGGCAGGACAATCCATCTTATGTAATGATGCCCAAATTTCAATCCTGAAGCAGTAACACCATCCTAAGCAGCAGTCAACAGAACACGGCAACTGATGCTTAGCAAAGGAGTGGACACAGACACACAAAGTCACGCATACAAATGCCACTTACGCATACAGTATACATACACACGCAAACACACGCAGACAGACAGGCAGGGATGAAGACCTTTTCTTAACCCCAGCTGCTTCAAGCTACTTGTTGTGCTCTGCATTTGTCACTGACAACTGTTTTCATTTACTTGCTGTAAAAGGTCAGAGCATTTGTCGTTTACTGAATCACAGCACAAGCAGAGCTGTCTAACAAACGGTCATTTATCTTTTGCAGTTCTCCTCAGTTTTCTCCGTGACAGATGCTTGTCTGGTGTCTGGCAAACATCCTTAAGCCATAAGTGATGGCAAACACTAAATGGTCATAATCATCAGATATTTGCTCATATTGATGCCTGCTTCTAGGTATTCAGACACAATCTACTTGACTAATGACTGATTCATCATTTACAGTAACTGAAATGAGCAGCGTTGTGGCCTTACATGCGAAATCAACACTTGCAATGGAAAAGGAGAAATGTCAGTGGCACTACTCCAGGCTTGCAGCACCATGCCATTCCATGCCGAGATGTTTCCAGAGCTGAGGGTTCTGGGCGATTAGATGAAGGGAGCACCTACAGTGAGGTAGCTTTTCACAAGCTCTCAATGATTGTGTTCTTTTCTTTGCCTTTCCTGCATGCAACAGCTTCATATTTGCACATCTTCTATGTGTGCAGATATAACTTTGTACATAGTGTGTTTGTTGGTGCCGTTTCTTCTATTTAGTTCAGTGGGTGAAGTATTAAAAGGCGTTACTTTACACAATGAACCTGCTTCTTCTCATTCTTTCGGGGTCATGCCATCAGCAAATGCTAACACAAAATAACTTGAATACACAGCTATGGACACAAAAGTGTGTGCAACATATGATGTGTGTGCAGAACTAATGGTGATTATAGGTATCTATTGATAGCTGGGTGAGAGTGATATTCCCACAGCATGAAAGAAATCCAAGTTAGAGAAGCCAACCAGCAGAGAAAGAGAACACAGCTGATACACTTTAACCAATCAATAGTTCTGGAGCATCTGCTTCTCTCTCTCGCTCCCTCTCTCTTTATCTCTGTCTCACATAGACACACACACGGTAGCTGCTGAATGTAGGTCATGTTGTCCTGTAGAGAGATGTGAAAGTGAATAGCTAATCAAAACTATCAGTCAATGCCACAGCAATGCTTCCCTGAGGCTGAACAATGGTGCTGGGCAACACGCAAACTAACCAATAGTTATTCATACACATACACACACACATGTTGTGTTTCCATTCCTTGTGGGGACTTTACATTGACTTACATTCATTTCCTCTAGACTTATCCTAACTTTAACCATAACCACTACCTGACCCTAACACTTGACCTAATCCTAACCTCATCCTAACCCTAAATCATGTTGCCACCCTTTTTCAGTGATTTCCTTGTGGGGGACTAGCTTCTGGTCCCCTCAAGGATGGCCGAGTCCCCACAGTGTGAATGTGTTAACAGGTTTTGGTCCTCATGATGTAAGTAATATAAAGGCACACACACAGACAGAGCAGTTAAAAGGCAGAGTGGATATATTGCATAATTAATCAAGGCCAAAGAAAACAGCCAATAGCAGGCCACTCCTCAGTGAAAGTGTCTTAGGTTTCACCTGGCATAAAATCACCTGCAATAAGTGAAGTGTTCTGGTGATTAAAACCACATTTATGTTAGGATTTCCATGTACTGTACTCTATGTTCTTATTATATCTCTATGAGAGACACACATATTTTTAAATGCAGCTAGCACTATCCTTTTTATTTTCTTGTTAACCTCACTGAAGCATTGCTCTTTGAATAAATAAACTAATGGGTCCAGTACTGGACTGGAGTCTTACACTAAAATGATCTGTCACATCCATTTCTCCTCAAGCCGGTGATTCTGACAGCACTGCACCAGACATTTATCTCTCCTCTTGTTTGTGTAATTGAACGTGTGTCAGGTCAAATCAGTAGCAAAAACCAAGGTTGCCACAGAGGACGGAAACTCAGCCACAGGCCCTCAGACGAATAGCTTCAGTCAAGATGCAGACAATCATCTGACGTGAAGGGTGCAGAAACAGCTGTATAGCCACAGTAGGCTGGGGCTAGTTACAGGACACGCACTTTTTCATGTCATATTGATACAAACTTATGTTTCAGAAGCTTTCAAAGTGCAGTTGAGTACAGTGTGACAGTGAGAAACACGTAAAGAAAATACAGCTCCCCTTGGCTATACTGAGTGATCCCTGTCACCTTAGCTTCATTTTCATGCCACAGTGGGCAGCGGAAAAGCCCTAAAAACCACTACCTGCTTCACACCAAACAGACTCTGCTGCAACTGGTGAATATAATGAAGCATTCAGCAACTAAAGAGCAAGATATTTCCCTAAGAATTTGGTAGACACCAAAACAGAGCTCTAAGGAGAGATTTACAGCTGTCAGGTGGACAGAGACACAACACCCTAAGTAAATACACACCTTTGTATTGGAACGACACCTTTGATGAAGGCAATTTGTGCTGCAGCTGAACAGTACAGCATTATAATGAGAGTTGGGGCTTAGCGTGACCACACTGAAATAACTGAGATGAGAAAAAAATAGAAACACTGATTAGTATAATGCAATACAATAACACCACAGAAATCTTCCAAAATGATTATACACTTGAATCAACAGCTCTCTGAAACAGTTTAGACAAAGCCTGAACATTATCACCGTCATGAAGTGAGGATTTATTGCTATAATTTTTATTTTTTTTGCATTGTTGTGTTAGGGCACATTAGTTTTAGGTAGGAGTACCTAATAAACTGCCAACTCAGAGTACATTGTTGCAAAGTATATAAAAAATATATAAAATTGACCTAACTGTTATAAGAATGCATACAAAAAAGAGCTGACATAACCACTGTGCCTCACATAAGAGTAGCAACTTTTCCATTATGCAAAATATCTAATAATTCCAGTGAAAACAGAGTGAAGTTGGGAACGTTGTTGTTTTAGATTTAGGTGTACAAACAGGAAAACGAAACCCTGCATTATAAAAGTAAATTAATTACCTGTATTATGCAGTGTAGTCCAAACATAATGTGTAGGACTACATTTTCGAGCCGTTCGTGACGTCAATTTTACGCGACAGCTTCTGATCATGTGACGCTTCTGTATTTTATGTCCTTTTTGACAATTTCTTATTTTGATGTAAACGTAGTGCGACGCAGAATGGGTTATATCTCGTTGTTGATTTTGAATATTTGTCTTTTTTGTACCTGTTCAGCTTCACCACCGAACTTCGTCCTGTTATTCGCCGATGATCTGGGTTTCGGGGATTTGGGCTGTTATGGACACCCCAGCTCACTCACTGCGAGCCTGGACGGTCTGGCTGCGAGAGGACTCCGGTTCACAAATTTCTACTGCACCAGCCCCGTTTGCAGCCCGTCCAGGTACTGTCCGTTTCTGAGAAGAATTGTATAGAACTATAATTAAAAACTGATACGTGCTCCTACTTCTCATAAATGACAGCCTTGTTTTGTAATGATGACTTTTCAGGGCGTCATTGCTGACAGGGCGCTATCAGACCCGCTCAGGTGTCTACCCAGGAGTGTTTTACCCAGGCTCTATAGGTGGTCTTCCTCTGAATGAGACCACCATTGCTGAGGTACTGAAACCTCTGGGCTATGCCACTGCTGTTGTAGGGAAGTGGCACCTGGGACTTGGTGCCAATGGGACGTTTCTTCCAACCAGGCAGGGGTTTGACCAGTACCTGGGGGTCCCTTACTCCCATGATCAGGTTACAAGTTAAAATATTTTAAATGTAATCTGTGATGATATTTCTTTAAAGTAGCTTTATGTGATTTGAATGAATGAATGAATGACACTTTATTACAGACTCAAGGTCCAGGTTCAAAACAAATAAAGCAATAAAAGAACAGTTTAAAACGAAACAATAAAAATAGAAAATACATAAAAACGATACATGATTTCTTTGCTGTAATATCTATTTTACTATCTCTTCTGTCTCCCATGTTTCTTCCCAGGGCCCCTGTGGGAACTTGACTTGTTTCCCTCCAGATGTTAAATGTTTTGGCACATGTGATGTTGACACTGTAACTGTCCCACTAATGTATAATGAGGTCATCAAGCAGCAACCAGTCAACTTCCTGGAACTAGAAAAGGCTTACAGTGACTTTGCAACCAATTTCATTACCACATCAGCAGAGAAAAAACAACCTTTCTTCCTCTATTATCCCTCCCATGTGCGTAAGCAACACTAACAGTCTTTGATAGAGTATCACTGTAGTGAGCAAAGTAACGCCTCACAATCACAGTCAGAATCAGAGCTCTTTCCTGATCAGTTAATTTCTCGAAAGGCTAAAAATGTGTTTTCAAAATGCAAGATACATGTCCAAGCATGTTTTTCACCTCTTTGATAGATTGTGATAATTTAGTGCAGTTAGACAGTATATTCTTAAATATTTGCACACTACTTTATCCTCCAGCACACCCACTACCCCCAGTATGCAGGACCAGGGGCAGCTGGCCTGTCTTTAAGAGGGCCATTTGGGGATGCTCTGTTGGAGTTTGACAACACTGTAGGACACCTACTGACAACCCTGGAGAAGACAGGTGTGATCAACAACACACTGGTCTTCTTTACATCTGATAACGGGTTGGTTTTCTTTCTGATTTACTTTTGTATGAAAATTAATCTATGACCTGTATCTGTAGTCACTTCTTACTATATGCAGACATTTTAATCTGCCTCCACAATAGCTTTAATACACTGAAATGTTTGTCCTCTTTTCATACGATGTATGTCCTCCTTGTGATATTGCAAATACTGTCTTGTATCAAATGATGCGTGATATCCGTCTCTGTATGTAGACCTGAAACGATGCGGATGTCCCGTGGAGGTAATGCTGGCTCTCTCAAATGTGGGAAAGGTACCACATATGATGGGGGCATGAGAGAACCGGCCATTGCCTACTGGCCAGGAACAATTAGGCCAGGTCAGGACAGCTTTGACTGGAAGATACTTGCAAAGCCAAAAGATGTTTTACTCTTGCACTAATCCAGAACTCATTCACATATACTAAGCCATTTTCTAAAGCATACCTTATGTGTTACACATATTTGATGCATTCCAGGCATCAATTCCTTTTATTTCAGTATACAAATATAATATTTAAATGAATGGGAGTTGATTTACACATGACTTTTTAGTGATTGCTGCTGCTTTCTCTTTTTTCTGTACGCATCTCTTTAGGTGTGACTCATGAGATGGCCAGCACTTTAGATATCCTCCCCACCTTCACAAGTTTGGCAGGAGCCAAACTGCCTCAGGTGATGCTGGATGGGGTCGACATGACAGAAATTCTTCTCAAACATGGAAAGGTAGTGGCATCATAATTCATAGTTATTAGTGATTTCAGCGCCATAAAAATACATTTAATGTCATGTTTAATCCTTTCTTTGCAGAGTAAAAGGGAGACAATTATGTTCTACCCTACTGATCCCAGTGAGAAGTATGGATTGTTTGCTCTCAGATTGGGGAAGTACAAGGCCCACTTCTACACTCAGGGTACACTATACTTCATATACACAATTTATTGAAACAACATGATCATCCATAATTGCATAGAACAGTGGTGTTTTTGACTCCTGGTTGTTCATATTTATGTATCAGGTTCTACCCACAGTGCTACTACCCCAGACTATGACTGCTCACCATTAACAGTCCTCGAGGTCCATGACCCCCCTTTGATTTTTGACCTGGAGGCTGACCCCTCAGAGAATTACCCTCTCTCATTGGAAGGGCGACCTGATCTGCAGGCCGTGCTGGAGAAAATTAAGATAGTCAAGAAGCAGTTTGAAGCCTCCATGGTGTTTGGAGAGAGCCAGATATCAAAAGGAACAGACCCAAAGCTGGAGCCTTGCTGTAATCCTCAGTGCAGCCCCAAACCGAGGTGCTGCCATTGTTGATTGGATAAATTCTCACAAGGGCCAATGAAGATAATGGTGGAAAGCAAAGAGGTACTGCACTGGTTTTATGCTAAAATTGCTCAATGAAAACGCAAGATGTGCAGGATTTTGTAATTGTCTGATTATGCATTGCTCTTTGTTTGTGGACAGCTATACTTTAGTTACTTATAAATACTGTAAACAGTCTGTTTCCACAGGGAGAAGATGATTTGTTTAAATGTTAATACTGATTAGGAACTACACTAATGCACTTTATAACAAACATGATTCCTAAAAAAAGATGTACATAGAAACATTTTAGGAGATGTGACTAAAGGAGTAGACTGTAAAATAGTAATTTGGGAGGGGTAGTTTAAATGAAAAGCATAGTGGGCACAGCTGATAAACCTCTGTTCTGTCCTATAGTATGGGCTATTGTGTTTTAATGATATGAATGAATGAATAATGTTTTTGCTGATAAAATCTACACACAATTTTATGTCCACCACACTGTCTGTCAAAGACAACATAGATACAGGGTTGTGACAGCAGCTGTGTGATACATCAGATTTAAAATGGGTGTTTATAAAGAAGTTGTTTACTTCTTTGCATCATACTGTACATGGTGTTCACTGCTGTATGCCGGTAAGTTATGGTCCTGTGTTAACCAAGTTTAATGCAGTAGATCTTTGACTAGAGGCATGAAACCCAGCATATACATCATGTGATACTCTATGGGTGGACGGTATAGTAGGCTTTGCGACATCTGGTGGCCAAACAGAGAACTGCAGGTTGGTCCTTATGAGCGTCATGCAGGGTTAAAAACACTGCATTACTGGTGCAATGCCACCAACAGGGCACTGTAAAAACAAAATAATCAAGAGTAGATCTGAACAATAAAGACAGTAATAAAGGTTTTGGACACCAAGCATATATTTTATTCATAAGACCAAACTCATGACAAGGCAGAGTGATTTTTTTGTCTTTTTGTTTGTTTGTTTTTCTCTTGAATTTTACAAGTCCTTGTTTGTGAAGGTACAAGATAGGATATGTTTGTTCTGTCACATACTGTTTTGCTCTAGGTATACGGTGAAGAATCGTGAAGAATCTTGTTAATGTAATAGTCAAATATTTGGTTCAACTGGTAATGTGTCTCAGCAGGTATATGGGACTATCCTCAGTCTTTTTATTGTGTAGCTGTGTGAACAGAAGGATTTTAATTAGGCTGTAACAATAAACAAAAAAGAAGAAAATAGATAAAATTTTTCGATTTAGTGGGATATAAGACTGCTGTGTTTATGTATAAAGCCAGGAACAATTTATTACCTGGTGGAATTCAAAAACTATTTAATGAAAGGGAAGGGGGATACAATTTAAGGGGTCAGTTAAATTTAAAAATTCATGCTATACGTACAACCAAAAAAAGATTTTGTATTTCCATAAGTGGGGTAAAACTATGGAATAATTTAAGTGTGGACATAAAAAATAGTAATAGAATTGACGAGTTTAAACATAAATATAAAGGTATGTGTCAATCAAGATACATGCAAATTTTTTTAGTATATTACTTGTGTGGTGTAGAAGAGAATTATTTATGTAGAGATACTGCTTGCAAACCAATGATGTAAGATGATGTCATGGGGTAGGACTGGATAAGTCTGACTTCTTCCTACTCCATTCAAGCATGTACTAGGTATAAGCAAATTGATATTGGATTAGCATTTGTTGGATATGTGTAAAATTATGTGTGTTGACATATCAACTGTCTTTACATGCTTGAAAGAATAAATCAAATCAATCAAAAATATCAAAATCAGAGATGGGTCACACTGTTGGAGCTCAAACGCCTTCACTATAATCAGCAAGACACAATTATAGTTGCAGCCGAGTCAGTCACTATTCAGCTCTAACAGCATATTAGTCGGTTGTCTGGTAGGCGTGTCACACAATAATGACGTCACATCTTACAAATGTGCACTTAAAAGTGCTGCTGAAGCCTGTCTGTTGAGAGTTATGGAGCTGGCAGAAACCCCAAATGCCACCCGTGTGACAAATACTGAGATTAACACCTCTGTAGAAACATAACACTGAAATAAAATGATTGCAGGTCACTGTGTTTTTCTTTTCTTTCAGGGATTTTTGTTGGTTCTGATCTTTTTTTTAAATGTCATTTTAATTAATGTACATATTCATTTCAGTAACATACTCAACATAAAGGACAGCACTATCTTAGATTCGCTATTGTATATACTGTACATGATCTAGCTAACAGCAATACATGTGTAGACACCCAGCCCCACCCCCGCTGCGTCAATGTTCAGTGAACTTGTTAACACTGAAATCCTACAGATCTTGTTTCTCCTGGTGGACTGTGGCTGAAAGCAGAAGAACAAGATGCTCGACAGTGTATGAAAGAACGCTGGGGAAAGTAGGGAGTGGGAAACTTCAAGCCTGAAATTTCAGATAATGGTTGACTGCAGTGACTGCATCATTTTTAAATAGAGCCCCTCTCTTATGCAAGGTGCTAAACTGTAAGCTATGCCACAACAACCCCAGAGCAGTGACCACCCCTTCTGGCCATCATACTTAAAAAAAAAGATAAAAATCTAACCACTGCATAGCTATAAAAACTCTCTTTTAACGGTTTGTTAAAGGTTTGCTCCGATTGTGTTACCAGGACCACAAATAAGCAGGACACTCACTGCAGTGTGGGTGCACTGTCATACAGCATTACTGGCATGTGGGTACTGGTTAGTCTAGACATTCATTTTCCCTTGTTGAAATTACCAAGTCAAATGAAAACAGACGAGGATGTCGCTGAAAACCAGAGTTAAACAGTCAAAGAATATGAGTATATGGCTTTTCAGAGTGACTTTCTTTGACCCAGAAGTCACATCAATCATAGCAAGCATACAGTGATCAATTTGCAGTTTCAATATCTGGATGATTTCCAGTGAAAGCTCTCTGTTGTGAAGGTCATAAAGCAGTTTTGAGGACTGGACAAAGTAAAATGGTCCTGTTGTATCATCCAAATGTGCTGACAGTTACAGTACTTCACCTATTCCAAGCTGAATAACATCTGCAGGGCTAATGACATTCAACGTTCATTCCAAGTCATTACAACCTTTATAAAAAATCTCTTAAACCTGCAGTTCTTCCTGGCACAACAAAAATAAGAAGCAAATCCCCACCATCCCTCTCAAATGCAAGTGTGTCTTAAATTGCCTGGATGAAGTGGCTGCATGTCTACTTTCTATACATGTATTTACAGCACACACTACATCTTGTACATGACACGGGTAAGCTCAGACCAAGGACAGTTCACTGTAGTCTCTCTACTGTGCTCCAATGTCGCTATCAGTAGAAACCAAATTAGCATTTTGTCAGTAATGAACAAATACATATTTACAGTTAAATAAATGCCAACTCTTGATTCTACACCACTCCCTTACTGATTGTTGAGCTGCTTGCCATTCACTTGGATATGTGTATTTATTGGTGTCTGTGTGCAGTAACCCTACTAGCCATGCATTGAAAAGTGAAACAGCAGTAGTAGGTATATTTCATTTCAAAAGAGGAACCTTTAAATAAACAGGTGCTCAGCATCTTAGTTTTATATCATAGAAAAAGATAAAAGAAACAGGCAATCAATGCATTGAGATGATGGAAATAAACGAAGACAGAGAGAAATGACTGAAATCAGTCAGATTCCTAGCATACTGTAGAAATGAAGATCCCAGTTTCAGAAGGGCACAGAAGAGTAGTTTACAATGGAGAAGACCCCAGTGGGAGTGCCCTCTGGTGGCAAACTTGGTGAATATAACTCTAGCTGTGGATGAGGAAAGTGGTTGTCATGGTAACACCTGTCACTCCAGATAGATGTCCTCGGTGGGGCAGGCATACTCCAGATGTTCCTGGTAGTACTCCTGGAAGGCTCGCCTGCCAAAAAGACAGAGATGAGATGAGTGTGCCAGCTTTTAGGAGACAGCTGTGCAGAATAATGCACTTTTTTGTAGTGACAGATTTTACACAGTCATGCTGTTTCCTTAAAAATGTCCAGGTAGTGCAAAAGCACTGCTTGGTAAATGCTGGTGAAAATACAAAATCAGAAGAGGGTAGTTGTTTTAATAAGCTCTGCCCTTGTTGTTGAGTCTGTTCCACAGGCAAAGCAGGACAAGAAGCTGATAGAGAAAACTGTTCTGCCCATCCCATACTCTGCTGCCTGCCCTCATTCCATCCAGACACAGTGAACTATATGGATCTTTAATTATTAAAACCCAGTATGGCTCAAACAGGCGTGATTAAGCCTCCAGTCATTATTTAACTGAACACACACTTGCACACACCCAAAAGGTTGGTGAGCAAAATAAAGCTGGGCTATTGCTCACTCAGCTACAGATGAAGCAACTGGCAGTGAAGATGGGCTTTAATCTAGGTGTCTGAGATCAGAGTAGAACAGCAAACCATCAAAGAGGACTTTAAACATAATGTACAACTGAATAATAATAGATAATAATAGAATTTGGACTTACCCAACACACTCTGCTACAGGTCGCATGGACTCCTGGGATACAAACACATGGCAAGCAAATCTGTTCAGCATCGGGTGCTTAGTGATGAAGCCAAAGTAGCTGCAGAGAGAAGAAAACAATATGATGCAATCAGTTAGGTGTTACACTGTGCACTGGTAACAGGAAGGTGGAAGATGGGTGTGTTTGTTTACCAGTTATTCTTTGGATGGCATCCACAGAAGGAGATGTTCTTCATCTGGAAGAAGTGACTACATTTGTCATACTAAATGTGAGGGAAGATGCAAAAACAGATAGGAAGACAGATTTTAGGAGTTGGTATTGAGTTGATTTTATTTAACTCACAGATCACATTTGTCTCAGGAGGCTATAATGTGAACATTTAAGCTCTTCTTATCTTTAAAGTCAAGCCCCAGATTCTTAGTTGCAATGGAGTTTGTATTAACATGCCTAAACCTTTGAATTAGTTTTTGGTTGATGTGTTATGTTAAATATATATATTTCACAGTGTTTGACAAAGGACTCCACCATTTTTCAATATCAGCATTCAATATGATACCTCTTTCGTGGTTTATTCAACAAAATGTCAACAAGTTGTAATAAATCATCAGTAGAGCATTAATCCAACATTATGGCATATAAAGCAATGACTGAGTAATAGCGATAAATCTGTGCCTTCATTGATTTTGCCATACCTCATCAAGGGTATCATATTCATCCTCCAGGCTCATGATCAGTTTCACTCCTTGCAGGCTAATTTCCAGTTCACACAGAGAAGGAGGACGCACGTGTACCGTTCGTTTCCTTGATACTGCAATCTAACAGGCAGAAAACACGTTCATGTTTAATCATGTTTCATTAGACACACTGCATGCACATACTGTATCTTTCAGTGTGTGTTTTGTGTGATGCATGCATTTTGATGTTTACCACTTTGTTTACCTTCTGCATGGCGGCACAGAGAATGCCGTTGCCTTGGTGATAAGGTACCTCAACAGACCCCAAAAACGGAACGCTGAAAGTCTCAATCCATGCTGGGTTTCGCTTCATTCCTACAGGGTGTATTGTGGCCATACAGAACATGTGATTCCTCTGACATTTACAGTGAGTCACAGTAAGTGACTGTGGCCATATCGCTCCACTCACCCAACAGCTCCTTAGACTGGCCTATGACCTCATGGGCATAAAAGGCAGGGAAGATGCCCCTCTCCCCTGTCCGCATGTTATAGCCTCTGTACCAGTAGTCATCCTCTTCTTCCTCCACAAATAAAGGATCATCAACATCCAGCTCCAGCTCATCCGCATGTCTGGGAATGAACCTGCAGAAGGCAGCGAGGGCAAGGGGGAGGTGGAGGAGGAGGTTGATAGATAACCACCACTGTTCAACATTGTGTCCTTACATGGTATACCAGCAGCTGAGCATCCCATAGACTGGGGTTCATTTGATCAGGAAGCATCTGTTTGGGTTTCAGGTGACTCCCAGGAGGGAGGAGAGAGGGAGCATTGATGAAACAGCTGACAGAGAAAGATGATGGAGTGGGTGGAGTGAGACAAAGAGCTCTAAATGTGGGAACACTCAAGGATGACTGTGATAAAGCAAATACATAATTATAAATGTATAGATGTGTGTGTACCCGTGGAAGGAGCATGTAGTTTCCTCTCTCGTGCACAGACACAGGTGGTGGCTGATCTGATCATTACTTGCCACCTTGTGGCTCTCAAGCTCAGCTGTAGCTTGAACACCTGCCTGCCTCTCAAACGAAATTAGTGATTCACTATTGCTGCATGAGCCTCACAGCACACTGAAAACTAAGAAATATTGTTTTGTTTATCTACACTTTTACAGCATTTCCTTATAAGCCTGCCTTTTTGCTAGAATTTACTTGTCCCATTTTTAAAAATGGATATACTATAGACTTTCTTACCTGTAGACTGCCCTGTGTGTCTGGTCCCTCTCCTCTCCATTAATGGTACAGGAGAAAAGTCCAAAGGATTCTGTGCCTATATATGGTAAACAGACACCAGTTACACCAGCTCTGAAAACCACATTTTTACAATGAAACTTAAAGCTCAATGTCCAAAATCAAATATGCTACTTTTTTTGAGGGGTAGTTTCTCACATAAACTCTCTGAGAGGAAGTCTAAATGGAAGCTAATTGGATTTGGAAAAAAGAAAATGGCAATGAGGGCCTTTGTAACGAGCCTTTCATTATGCAACACCCTTATTTAGTGATATAAATTTTGAGTGAGAGCACTGAGTAAGGACGGAGGTACTGGGAAGCTAAGCCCTCCCACTGGTTTTGTATGGGCTCATTGCCAAATTTAGATCACATGTCAATGTATCATGATGACAGTTAAATCCTTATGTAGTATATTCATATTTAAGCACCACAATAGATAACTTTATAAATCATGTTGCTGCAGGGCATATTTTTAACTTTTAGGATATTTGTTTCATTGGCTTAAGTTAGAGGAGTTCCACATTTTGGGAACTATGCTCATTCACTTTCTTTTGATATTGCTCTTGTGTGTGCAGCAGATGCATATAAGGCTGCAACTAGGAAATGGTTAGTATAGCTTAGCATAAAGTCTAGAAACTGGAAAAAATGAGAAGTCATGGTTTTTACTGAACTATTTCTTGGCCGGTTGAGTGATTTCTTGATAGACTGAACAAAAGAGATACAACATATCCTGGCTGTAGCTGTGGAGAAATAGCAGTTTTCTCATCTACCTCTCACCAAGCTATAAGAGTAAACCTATTTCTTAAAATGTGGAATATAATAGCCTTGGGTGTGACTTACTGGAGGAACGGGAGGTGCTGTTGACAAACACATTGAGGAACTTCTTAGAGAATGGGAGGTCAGCCTCCGGGGAGGAGTCCTCAGAAGAACTGAGAAGTTCTGGCCTCACCTCCTCATCATCTTGAGCATAGCCCACCTCGCCCATTCCCAAAGGCTCCTCATCACATAGCGTGGAGAGCTCACTGTCATCACTCAGGACGGAGGTGCACCTGTGGGGACAAGATTTGTCAGGTTCAAATTTCAGTGTAAGTCTACGTGGTCACTAGTATTGTAAGAGTACTTGATTTACTAATGAAGGCACACAATAAAGATAGTGTTCACTTAATTCATAAATCATATCACATGACATTATCTCTAATACCATGGCATTACAGTTACATAAAAATGCAGCGTTACTATCTACAGTAATGCAAATAATATTCCATTATCTGCGCTCAGTTTAAACACGTTAGAATATATACTTAGCTTATACAGCTATTATGTCAACAGCATACCTTCTGAGGCTGACTAATTCTAGAGTAGCATTCTCATCCACCACTAACGTGTACTTCATGGAGTCATAGGCCAGTCCATTGTCTTCATTTGGTTGACTTAGAGCCAGTTCTTTCTCACACAGTGGAAGGTCATGGTCAGATAAAGGACAGTCTTGCACACTAGAATCAATGGGTTGTGAACTGTCAAGCTCTAAGTCACTACCCGTATAAGACTGCTTCCTCAAGCCGCTCAGGAATGGATAGGAGTCCCCATCATCCTCCTCTTCATCATTGTCTGTGGAGTAGGTCAGGCTGAAGCAGCGGTTGGTCTGGGTGGTGGGGATGTCCAGCGTCAGGCTGTGCTTGACCTCTGTGATATGCTCAAGAGAGGCTGAGGAGCGGCTCGTTGGCCTGGGCTCAGTCTCTCGACCTTCATCCTTGTCGCTGACCACACTCTCACTGAGGCTTGGTGAGTCCAGATCCTTCCTCCCCTTTAACATCATCAAGTCGTTATTGGGCTCTTCATCTTCCTCCAGCCTCCTGGCATTCTTTGATAGTTTGTCTGTGAGGTTCTTTTCAGAGTCTTTAGTGGTATACAAGGAGCTGAAATCAGGGGTTCCTCTCTCATTGCTTGCACAGCGCTCTAAAATCAAAGGAGTTACAGTGTCACCAGTGGGGTTGCTCATATAGAGACAGGGGCTCATCACTGCTCCTTCTTTTGAAGACTCCACACTTTTTCTTTCTCCTGGCACCATCCTTTCCTTACTGTACCCCTCACCTTCCTTCTCTTCTTCTTCTAATCCATCCATCCCTGCTTTCCTCTCTTGGTCCTCATCATTGAAGCCATCTCCCTCTCCTATGTCTGAGGATGGTGTGATGGTGTCCGACACAGATGCCCTCCTCTTGAAGCACTCTTCAGGACAGCTGATTGGGTAGGAGCCCTCTGAGATCATCCTGTTGACCAAGTTGCTGAGCAACCAGGGTGAGTCTGAGTTCTCGCTCAGGTCGTCTTCACTCTCTGATTCTGAATCTCCCTCACTAGTTTCATCATATTCATCTGTGGCTGGCATTAACCTGGGTCCTACTGGCAGGTAGAAGGAGCGTTTGAAGCTCTCTAGGCTGTGGTCTGGTTCAATCTGGAGCACCATCTGTCTGGACAGGGTGTCCTCACAGCATTGGGCTGGTGGCAGAGTCTCATCTGGGTCAGCCTGGTGCTCATCGGACAGCTCATCATCCACATTCTGCAGGCCCATCAGAGCCTGACCATCATCATAGGACTCAGTGGGTAGGATGGGTGAGTCAACAGGTGATGGTGTAGCAATAGTGGGTGAGGGTAGTGAGGAAGGAGAGGGAAGAGGAGACCCTTCTTTGATGGGGTCAGGCTGGCCCAGCAGAAGAGATGCTTTCAATCCAACGATTCCACTGTCTTGCTCTAATTCTGTATCTGGGTCGAGTTCCTGATCTGATGTAGGAGAGCTGGCCTCCTCAATGGAGTTGGTGAGGTGGGATGAGCGTCCACTGCTACTGTCATCACTGGTAAGGTCCAGCTCTGTTTCTGAGATAGAGGAGATCATGTTGGAGACTACAGGATCGTCACATGCAAACGCAGCCTCCAGCTCCCCTTCAACATCAGAGTCAGAGTTTGGAGAGCTGAGGTCTTTGTCCTGGTCTGAAGTCACGTAACCTTGCTGGTTCATATCGGCTATCCCTGGGTCTGAGGATGGAGAGGTGGAGTCATTAGCTGCTGCATCCAAGGCAGAAGCTGCTGGAGCTTGTGAACTATTAGATGGGTCAAGAGTATCTAAAGGGCTGGAGGACACATAGCTGGAGAAGGAGGCAGGCTCAAAGGGTTCAATGGAGGGAAATTCAACGTATGATGACTGATTATCTTTACACACCATGTCATAGGTCCCCTTACACATGAGCTCAACTTCAAAGTCCTTCTCCAGCTCCTCATCAGACAAGGGCGTGTCAGCGCCATCGTTGGCTCCCAGGGGAGCAGTGGAGGAGAAGCAGTGACTTGTTCCATCTGGGTCTAGGTCATTCTCCGGCTCCATATATGACTCGCTGGTGATTGTGTAGGTGTCAGTGGCACACCGGTTTGAGTGTTTGTGGTTGTGGTCGCTGTTGAGGTCATGGTCCACCTCTGTGTCTGAACACTGGGAGTGCTCATCTACGGATGGCGCTCTGGTTGTCTGGATTAAAGGGTCGCTTTTTGGCTCTGTGACATTACCAGAGCATGAGACAGACTTATGTTGATCAAATGAGCCTGTGAAGATAAAAGGGGTGGAGAAACAATAAAGTGCATGACAGAATGAAAATAGACAATAGTGTAGAATACTATGTGGTAGATCATGTAGAGAATACAAAAAAGAGTAAGGAGACAGGTCAGAGGAGGAAGCCAGAGCAACTAGGACAATTAAAGAGAAAAGACTGTACATTAAGAAAAGTACATTACAATGAATGAATGCAGATACTAGGTGGAAACATTTGTTTTTAGCTGATAATCTGTTCACAAAGGAATGAGAATGAAAAAGTTCAGCAAACTCTATTAGTGCAAATTGGTTTGTAGGAAAACCATGACAGTGTTTTGCTGAACTTGTACATCATTGTCAAGTCAAATTCATGTCATATCATGACACTACACAACACTGGTGTACATGAAATGGGCTCTAAGCTTGCTGGGCTGGCCTTCTTGTTACCGTATTCGGGCCTCTCCCGCCTGTTGCCCTCCATGTCGCAGAGGAGGGGCCTGTGAGGGGACTGGGGGTTCCCGCCCTCCCCTGCCTGTTTTGGTGGAGTACCTTTGCTCTGAGACCCTGGTGCCTGTGAAACTGGAGATGCCGGGCACTGGCCTGTCACATGGCTATCGTCTTCTAGACATGGGTGGGTTGGAGATAGACGGCCTGGGGGTATAGTAGACATGCAGTTTCTAACTGTGTGTAATTCCTGAGGTTTGTAAATGATAATAGGTGAGCACTGCTTGAAGGTAAAATGGCCCATTTGTCATTTTGGTGCTTAACTTGACTAGTGTCATTTTATGTTACATAGCATCTGTACTTCATTGCTATATACAGTATTAAGTATCTAGGGATATTATATTATATTTATATTAATGTTCGATGTTGGTATTGAACAGTAAAGGAGTTAGATCATGATCTGGGCTTCACTGATGCAGTATTGTCCAGAAATATAAATGAATTTATACTGTTGCTGTAGTGAAAATGCTTCAAAACTACAAATATATTTATTTTACCAAAGTAAATTAGCACCATCTTTTGTGGGGTATCATGTGTAGTGGACAAACAAATGAATACAAATACAAATGACAACATATTCACAGTCCACACCTAATCTATTGCAGATAAATTATAATGTACTTACCCTGTGAAGCAGGGTTGCGTAGAGAGTCCTGCCAGCTTCCTTTCTTTGGTGACAGACTGCTGTTGTTGTTCAGAGAATCCTAGTAAGGAGAGAGAAAGAATCATAAATAACAAGTCAATACATAAGTACAAGACTAATCCGTGTGGTTTCATTCTGCTTACTTGCGACACAGCAGCGGTGAGGTTCAGTGTGGTGGGTCTGCTCTTCAGTGTACCATGTGTGGGGGAAGGAGGAGGGGAGGCAGAGGGGGATGGGGGAGCATCTGGGTCAACCTCTTCATCTTCTTCTTCTTCCTCCTCATCATCCTCATCTTCATCGTCAATCATCTCAAACTCTTGGAAGTCGTCCTGGAAGGAGCACACTGGGTGGTGCATGTCATTCTTCTCCAGAATGAGAGAATCCTAACCCAGGAAAAGAAAGGGAGGCAAAGAGTTAGTAATGTGGATACAGCATAAAATAAAGAGTGCTCTATCTTTATTTTATCTTATCATGCACTCAGCATATTTTAGATAATAGCCACACTAATTGAAGCATCTTCTGTTCTGAGAGCAGTGGGGGAACTTTTATGTAGTGAGCCAACACAAAGGAAACATCTGCTGCCTTCCATCCACTGTATTTTACTGTCATTTAAAAGCTTTGCCAAGAAAAAGGTGAATGGATCTAGGGGAGCACAGATGAAGGACATGCAACACAATCTTCTTTGACTACACATCTGTAAAACACACACAAACTGCATACACACACTAAAGCACTGTAGTTGACAACTCTGCCACAGTACATTTTATTGATGGGCTCTTTGTGCCTCCTCAGGTCTTAATACATTTATTTGTATGTACATATATCATATATGTCATATTTTCCTACTTACTTTGAATTTGACAGTGTAAACACAAAGATAGTTCTACTGCATCTAGTTTGAACAGTGCAGCAGTTTCTCTGCTTGTCTTTTAATGGAGGAATCAAAGCTCACCATCTCACCCATCCATTGCACACATTTCTGCTAATGCCGGCTGCATCCATTTTGTGCCACCACAACAGAAAGCAGCAGTCAATCTATTACCCAGAGACATTAATATGCATACTTGGAGTAGCTGTGAACATGGGATGAAATGTTTTGAAAAACGGTTTTGGTAAACGGTTCAGAGAAACACTGGAGGGATATGAAAGTGGCACATCTGCCTTGAAGAAAAATCTGCACTGTCAGGAAACAGCCTTTTGCGAGGCCACCTGACAGCCAGGCAGGTAGACTGAAAGAAAGAGAGACATAAATAAGAGCTGTGTGCTGGAAAGAATCAATTGTCATGGTCCACAGCTCCCAAGGACATCCCATCCAGCCCTGTGACTGTCTCTCCACTGTCACCTGCTGTTATACAAGTATGCTTTCCTGCTGGCAGGGGAGGTGCTGTGAATGAATTTAACAGGTTCACACCTAAATATCAGAGAGCACAAATGCATCCAATGTAATTTAAGTTAGTCTTAAGGCACACACACTCAGACCCATACAAACTGTAGTTTGTATACTTATGTACTGTTTATACTGCTTTTATTACATTTGTGCAGACATTTTTGCTCTTCAACAGCAAGTCAATAAGGCTTTGTTGAAAAAAACAACAACAAACCCAAAGCTTTTTGATTTCTAGCTTGCAGACCACAGGCGTGTTCAGCATGACTTATTCTCTACCAACTGGCTGTGTTGCTGCTGCACATTAGAAGACTGATGGCAGTGCCACTGTACATCTTTGCCCTCAGCAGTGGGGTGAAAAGAGGCATTGGGTTCAATTATAGGGCCATCTTTCTTGCTGAGCTGACCAGCTGACAGATTAAAGCACAAACAGAAGAGAGGAACTGAGGACATAATTCTCACGCAAACATTAGTTGTGCATCTCAAAGAAGAGCAGTGGAGCTTGAAAAGTACAGTAAGTGGTCTAACAGGCTGCGGATCAAAAGTAACATGTTGAATGACCATGAATGCAATGCATAGTTGAGATGTGGCGTTAGCTGATGCTCTGTGCCTTGGATGAGATCACGCTGCAGCCAGTCTTTCAGCCAGGTGTTTTCTTTAGCTGTGGATCTTTACAGTGTATAAATTAAAGCTACATAGTGCATTAGTGGGCTCCATACATGGAGTACCTGTAAGGCTATTAGTGCAGCTCACATCTTGATAGATGGACACAAGAAAAGATATAACTATGTATGTAATCACCACTGTGATTACATACATAGTGATGTAACAGTGATGTAAAATATCTTTACATCACTGTTCATACAATGACAGTATACATTATGTATGTGTGTGGACGCACGTGTGCCTATGTAACAAATACACCGTGGCTTTTAATCTGGGCAAATTTAATACTAGAATGTACGACAGATGTCAATTAGCCTCCCATTAATGCAGACCACCCAGTGAGTGATGTCCCCCATCTATCAATAACTTGGTAAATTTCCATATTTTAAACCCAGAGTAATGTCACAGCTGAGACACAGATGCCATTGCTCTGTCACATACTGAATTATGCATGTGCTCATGGTGTTCATTCAGGGCTCTGGAGAGACTGAGATGGATATTAAAGAGACAGGAAAAGAAGTATCAGACAAGATGAGGCAGAAAACTGGAGGATGTCTGAGAATAAGAGGATCAAGTCAACAACTAGATGGAGTCCCTCACTTGTGGTCACTCTGCTTTTACACCTGGGTAAAAAGTTAATTAAAGAAAACAAACACCCAGTTGAAAACACAGGGCAAAGGAAAGGACAGCCTGAGCTAGAACTGCTATAGCATTGTGGCATTTGGCCACATAGACAGAAAATCACTGATAACAACTTGATACGAGTAATCTTTAACTGCCTGCCTTCAGCTTCAGACGACAGAATAAGCTATTTCAAGGCATGAAGTATGTCTCTTTGTTTTGTTCATACATATGTGTATGTGTGCTCCTGCCACAAAGGCTAAATACTGGTCTAAAGGCTAATGCAGATTAGGACCTGAACCCCATAACAAACTGGAATCAAACAGAGATGGGGACTGGGGATGGAGGATAATCTCACTGTTTGAATGGGCTGTTCTTCCTAAACATCAAAATCATGCTGCCCAATATGATTGAATCATACTGACATGAAATCCAAAAGCCTCTAATGCTGCTGATGAGCTGACAAAGTGTCACCCACCCCACTGATGCAAGCAAAATCAAACACCATGTGAAATAACCAGTGCATGATATTCTTTGTTTCACCTTTCTTGCTATTGTTTAAATGCACACGCACACACTCAGAGGGCAACTGGGTGTGTGTCCTATCCATCCCATGTCAGCAAGATGACTTCCTCTGGACAATGTAACAAGGGCTGTCACTGCTTCTGCCCTGCGCTGTCTTGTGAGCAGTGAGTAGTCAGGGCCTCTGTCTGTTACATCTCCACAACTTGTGTTTTGGGGGGATAAATCTGCTCACACGTCCACAATGTGGGGACTCAACATCCTTACGGGGAGAAAAGTCCCCAAACTGTAAATCATTACATTTTAGAGCGATGTGGGGACTCAACATCCTTACGGGGAAAAAATTCCCTAAACTATAAATCATTACATTGTAGAGCAATGACTTGGTTTAGAGGGCACTGCTACATACCTTACTACTGTATGGCCTCTCAGGCACAGGAGAAAATAACACTCTCTGAAGTCTCTCTTTCTTTGGAGGTCTTCTCACATGTTACAGAAGGGCTTTGCTTGCTACCCCGAATGTGTTTTGTTGATGGATTAAGGTGGAGGAAGCAAAATATCTAGCTTGGATTTATGGTGAGAAATAAACCCTCAGAACTCTGAGCTAAATCCTCATTCCCAGTCACCACAGTAAGGAAGAAAAAAGAGAGAGAGAAAGTCAGGGAAGAATAGCTTTAAGGGAAAACTGAGTGGAGAGGCAGCAGAGAATAAGAGTGGAGGTAAGGTGATCTCAGTCTCTGAGGAACAGTCTGCATAGTGGGGAAAGAAGGGTAGACACATGGGAGGGAGGGAAGAGGGTTGTCTCTGCATAGCAGCAAACTGCACTGGATCACCCACCCTCTGCTGCAGCTGTGGCTCCATGCCACCAGAATGAAACATTTACAACCCATGGGATGGAGAGAGAAAGAGACAGCAGTTCTTAGAAATTGTGTAATTAAAGTCTAAGCTGTTCAGACACGCTGGATGATAGAGCTAATGACTCAGTGGTTTGTGTATATACATATGACACTTGAGTAGGATGCTAAGTCAAAGTACTGCTTAGAACTTGTATTATATGCCGAGGGCCTTAGTGAATGTATGCAGTTTGCTCATGTTTCTTATTTAGTCCCTGACGTTATAATGGATACCCGAAGGTTGTGGTAATTACTGTAATGACTGCAGTGCTGGAAAGCCAAGTAACCTGTAGCTAAAAATAAGAAGCTCTAGAGATGCTTACTTCAGACAGCCACTTTCAAATAAGCAGTTCTCAACATTACACAGTTGTTCACATCAGGTCATTATCATATTAATATTTATCATGTCATTATGCTCCCAGTTTTCTATTTGTATCACCATCATGCTGTTATTAATCAACTAGTCACCCATAGAAACTGTAGAGGGGCAACAACAGACAAACAAGCTAAAGGTCACTACAAGCATTACACAGAATACTTTGCAAATACAAGAATATATTAAACCAGCAATTTGTAAACTGTGAAAAGACTTCCTTTGTTTACATGGACATCATTTTTACAAGAATGCAGACATGATGCAATTCAAAATCTCTTTGCATCTAGAGACACATACTGTAGAAACAAATAGGTAAGATATCAATAAACGGAGCAACACAAAAACAAAGAGCCTTACCTTCTCATATGGGTCAGAGTCATAGTTGAGTCCAATCCCACAGTCATCTGTGATTTCAGAGAGATCTTCATCATCAAACTCCTCCAGGCTGATGTCATGGGCTGGCCTGGAAATACATGAGACACAGTGTATTCGCTAAATGTCGTGAAGCAATATAGCTGTTTCGTCACTGAATGCTATAGAAGAGAATTCCTTATTGATTCATGCCCACGCTGAGCCCCATTAGAGGAGAAACCTGCCCTGAGTCATGGCCTGTCACCCACATCCTCCATCTTAGTGGCACACTTCAGCAATGCTGAATACCAACAGCAGCACATAAAATACTCAATTAAAATGCCAATATCTCACATTATCTTCACTGAATCTTGTTGTATATATGTAAGAGCTCTGAATGTTATTAACAGAGATGAAAGTGACATATTGGTAGTTGCCTCTTACGCCAGAGAACTCCCATTTAAAGCAACAGCATGATACAGCAGGGAAGTGGATATGTCTATGTAATGGCCATGGCATGAAAGTTTTCTTGATTAGGCTCTATCTCATCCTTGCCTCATTAGTTTCAGCAGGCTCTCAGTTCTACAGCCGTTGGCTTGTAATGTATTGGAGGAAATGCTGCATTGCAGTTTTCCTACTAAGAAAAGGACATTCCACATATTATGCATGGACACAAGCTTATATCACACAGTCATATAGGGGTTCTGTCTACACAGAGTCAGTGGCCCCATGCATAACATGAGGATGTGCTGATGCATGTAAACTAAAACAAAGAGGGGTCATGAAAAGGTCGAAGTGATCAGAGTGCCCCCATGCTACTGGTCTGTTGCAATGTACAGCAATGTGCTACTGACAGAAAACACTGGGAAAAGGTCAAGGAGATATTTAAGAACAAAAGTGGTTTTCAATTAAAATTACATAAAGTGTATGTCAACTGTTGCAGTAAGACTTTTATTATTGCAGTTGGACATGTTTTGCCATTGAACTGAATGGGAAAGTGTGTCCAAACCTTTAATGGTAGTGCATGTAATAGGACATTTTAAAACCCAAGGACTGAAAAAATCATTTTCAATTGTATCAGAGGAGGAAACGCTATCAAACGAAAACAACATTAAACATTATGATAAGTTGAGCAGCACAAAAGGTTGTGATAAAATTGTGTGGTTATGCTGCTGCTGATACTGAAGTCAAGATAAAACACATTTATTTTCCATTTGTGGAAAATAGTTGCAAACAAACAATTAAGCCTGACCTTGCTGTTGGTATGTGTATCTAATCAGCTAAATATCTGTGCTAAAACTACAACTGATTTCAAGGAAAACAATTGAATGCTGTAGTTACAAAATGCAAAAATAATCCAAACTGAAAGACATAGCTCAGCATCAATTTCTCTGTTTCTTAGAAACACAACACATTTTTATGCTTGTGAGATTTAAATTGAAAATGCTACCTGATTCCTACACATTTATTTGCTTTTATTATAGAACAAGGAATATTTTTCATGATACATTTATGATCACGGTTTCTTTAAATTTAATATTAACACTACCAATCAAATGTTTGGACACACTTTACCACTGATTTCAATGGGAAAATGTGTCCAAACCTTTGACTGGTGGCTTTAAAGTGTCAAATCTAAATGGCCAGATGAGTTATTTGACACCACCACTAAATTATTCACAAAACATCTTAGCATACCAATGTTTTATAATACGTTTAATTAGGGAGGTTTTCAGCTGTTTGTAGAGGGTAGATGGACAAATACTATGCAGCTTTTGAGAAAAAGCCTCCAAGGGTCACCCTGTCTGAAGTGATATGCCTGATTTTTCGATAACAGTCTGGCTGATATGGGATCAGGCACTGTATATAAAGCCTGATCAGATCCAAGCTGAGTTGTATCCATTCAGGAGCACTGTATGTACAGGAGGGATCATGAAGTGTCTTGTTGCCATTCTGGTCTGTGTGGTGCTTGCAGAGGGACTTGTCAAGTAAGGAAACTATCTCTTTGTAGTTCTTAATTCTTGTTTTTTATGCTAGCATAAAGAAGCAGAGTGAATGACTGAAGACTGAGAGTGAAAGCAATGGGAAGTCAAAAATCTTCATGTTTTTGCTTCCTCCTTTCTTAGGGTCCCTCTGAAGAAGCACAAGTCTATGCGTCAGGCCCTGAGAGAGAAAGGGATTGAGCTACCTTACCAAGATCCAGCTCTCAAGTACCAGCCTACTGAGTTCGTCGGCTCTGCCTACATGTACATCAACAACTATGCTGATGTAAGAACTCCTGGGCTAACACCACTTTTCCATATTCTACACAACATTATAATGATAGCTTTTGCTGGCTGATAGGTTTGAACTTTCTTTAATCCTGTTCCTCTCTTTCTTTACCTCCAGACCACCTACTATGGACCAATCAGCATTGGAACACCCCCCCAGTCCTTCCAGGTGCTGTTTGACACCGGCTCTGCTAACCTGTGGGTGGACTCCATCTACTGTAACACTCAGGCCTGCAGTGAGTACAAACCAACAGCCTTTACACTACACTTTACATCTGTCATTCCCTTCAGAGCATATATGAAGAATTTCTCCAGGAGTGTTAAAGTTGATATAGGCTGGACATGTAGAGCCTGCAGTTTAAAATCGTGTTTCCAAAACATTACGTACTGTGCACACATTGGATTAAGGTTTTTAGTGCAATTACAGACGTGTCACTAAGTGTTTTCAATCTTTAGTTAACATTAGTGACTGTGTTTGTTAAAATGTAGCTAATGGTTATTATATTCAAGTGAATTAACATTATCTCAGAAAGCTCTGCAAGGCATAAAGACAGATCTATACCATTTACAGACGCACACACAAAGTTCAACCCCCAGCAGTCCTCCACCTACGTTTCTAAGGGTCAGTCCTTCTACTTGCCCTATGGAGCTGGAAGCCTGTACGGAGTCTTTGGATATGACACTGTCAATGTGAGTCAAACCCACAAACCAAACCAAGTACAACAGTTAGTAAAACACTAGTAATGAAGTTGACATTATCTTTTCCATTCAGTTTTAGTGGCCGAGACTGGACTGAGTCATACTGTAGGTGCTAACAGTACTAGCAGAAAGCAAGAATTTTCAGAATCACCTCAAGTGATGTCTGACAGTAAAAAAGAAAGAAATCCCTGACTAAGGTTTGGTAAAAGTTTGGGAAGTATGAACACACAAAGATCAGTGCATCAGTTTTCTGAGTGTATTCAGTATTGAATAAGTGAAAAGACCAGAAAGTACATGTGTTTTTATTAACAAAGACTTAATATTTTCTCAGAAGAATAACTGTAACAATTTGGTACATGTACTGCAGTAGAATCAACAGAGGTCTACACCATTCATTTACTCATGTTGCAGTCCACCGCTATAGTGCCTGTCTTCACTAGGTGATAGATTGAACATTTATAAATACAGTCTATTATTTGTCTTAGTAATCATATTAATTGGATTTGGATCTATAGGTTGGTGGCATTGTGATCACTAACCAGGAGGTTGGTCTGAGCACAAATGAGCCTGGTCAGAACTTTGTGGTGGCTCAGTTTGATGGCATCCTCGGCCTGTCCTACCCAGCTATCTCAGCTGGAGGAGAAACCCCTGTCGTGGACAACATGATCGCTCAAAACCTGCTGAATGCTGACATATTTGCTTTCTACCTTTCCAGGTGTGACAAACTCAAGACTTTTAATAAGTAAAGCACATTTAGTATCACATACAAAAAATACTGCATCAGCTATTACTATGGACACTGCTGGCACTAAACAAATCCTCTAACAGGAGGAACTCATGGCTTAGTTTTGGTGTGATGTTTGTCACAGGGGAGGCCAGCAGGGTAGTGAACTCTCTTTTGGAGGAGTGGACACCAACATGTACCAGGGTCAGATCTACTGGACCCCTGTCACCTCCGAGACCTACTGGCAGATTGGAGTTCAAGGGTTTGTGCTTTTTTGAAATGTCAAAAAACCTATACAGTTGGTTACTTTGGGGCAGCTGTGGATCAGTAGATAAAGCAACTTGTCCCCTAAATGTAGAGGCATCGGTTTGATCCCCGGCTTCTCCGTTCCACATGTCAAAGTATCTTTGGGCAAGACAATGAATCCCAGGTCGCTTTCAGTGACCTTGTATGGCAGCTCTGCCCATTATCAGTGTGTGAGTGTATGTGTGAGTGAATGAACAAGTAATGTGAAGTGCTTTGAGTGCTACAGTAGAAAAGTACTATATAAGTGCAAGTCCATTTACTCTTCAGTTTTATGTGTCCTAGTGTAATCAATAACTCTTGCCACCTGCCCTTTAGATTCCAGATCAATGGTCAGGAGACCGGCTGGTGCTCTCAGGGTTGCCAGTCCATTGTAGACACTGGAACCTCCAGTCTGACAGCCCCAAGCCAGCTTCTGGGTAACATCATGCAGGCCATTGGAGCCCAGGAGAACCAGTATGGAAATGTAAGACAAATGGACTCAGACAGGCAGACAGACTTTCTCTCTTTCTCACACACACACATATACATACATACACACAAAGCTGAAGCAATCCATGAGAAGGCCACTATTATTATTGTTCCTCATTAATCTCCAACTCTGTCTCTCCATAAAGTTTCACCATTTAAAAGTCACTATGAAAAAATTGAAAATACAGAAGCAGAGGTGTAATGTAACCATCTACAAACTCTAAAAATGTATCCCTTTGTTCAGTATATGGTGGACTGCAGCCAGATCAACAACTTGCCAACTCTCAGCTTTGTTGTCAGTGGTGTTGCCCTCCCTCTGCCTCCTTCTGCTTACATCAACCAGGTAAATTACTACATGCATGCTTAGTATAAATATGTATCTATGTGAGTATGTATATACCCTTTATGTACACACCATGGTTTTTAATTTGCAGGTATGCATGCACTGATATGCACATTTCCTTTTTTCCTGCCTCCACCTCTAGGAAACCCAGAATGGATACCTGTATTGCTCAGTGGGCATCACCCCCACCTACCTGCCCTCTCAGAATGGCCAGCCTCTCTGGATCTTTGGAGATGTGTTCCTCAGAGAGTATTACTCTGTCTATGACCGGGCCAACAACCGTGTCGGGTTTGCTACAGCTGCCTAAGTGTCATCAGAATAACCTCACCTGACCCTAAACCGCATCAGATAATAATGATAACGTTTGTATCCATTTAAACACACCTAAAACCCTGAGGCCTTGGTACATCTCAAACATCTGCTGTGGTAGATTCATTTGGACAATGTGAGATCAATTTCAATCAACATATTTGCCACAGTATGTCTACTACAAAATATTGCTATAAAGATCAATTTCAATCAACATATTTGCCACAAAAGTCTTTTAAGTCTTCAGATTGGTGCATACAGATCTCAATAAACATCCTCTAGCTTAATTTGTTTATTCAAGACAGAAAAAGTGAATTTCATACTTCCCAAGCACAATAAAGATGAAAATGTTCACTGCATGTGTTTTAATATATATTTTTTTATATTTGCCCTCATTATTGTAACAGCACATGTCATGGGTGGAGGAGGAGGAGGAGTAGTCTTCTTCCCTTTTTAATTTACTTTAGACCTGCGTGTGAGTGTGTGTGCTTGTGTCTAATTACTTCACACATATAGTGGCATTTTTAAATGCTAGAATCCTGGGACATATAAAGGCATTAAAACTGTTTCAACATCAAACAAATGCAATAATAAACCAGTTGTGTTTTGCTTAATGTTGCATCAATAGTTGCAAGGCACTGTTACCAGAACACTTGTGATAGCTCAGTCGCTGTACTGGTACACCATGCATGCAAAACCAGTAAGTAAAACATAATTAAACTGGGATAGATTTGTTTATTTATTATCCATCCATCCATACATTACTACGCTGCTTATCCTTCAGCGGGGCTGGACACCCTGGACAGTATAATATTGACAATGAAAACTGTTCACAGTAAACTGTGTGAATTACCCACTGTAATAGTGACACTGGAAAGAAACGGTGCTCTTGAACTAATCAAATGTTGCTTTTAAATGCTGTGGGAAATAGAAGAATAACAGAAAAACTATAAGTACAGTAACAGTACATACCACTTGGTACCTTTAGTATTATCACCATTAATGTAGATAATTCATCTGTTTTAATTCCTTTTCTTTTATCCCTTTTTGCACTCCTCTAATGATCTACTATTCTGCTGTGTTTCCAGACTCCATTTTGTTTCTGTCTCATCTGCTTAGCATTGAACTTCTCCTGAAACTCTGCATTGTATGTCACAACAGAATGTGGGCCCATTTCCCATAAACTGCAAAACATAAGAAGTGCATGTCAATGAAAAGCTGCAGATGCAGAGTAATGCCCAGAAGAGTGAAAACATCAACTGACCCCAGCCACACATTAACATTCATGCACACCTCATATGCATGCTCATACACTTCATCTCAGCTTTAAGATCAACAAACATCATTTGCCTATTGTCATCCCTTTGTTTTAGATGTTCTGCCTCTCTGCCTGAAACATTCTGTACTAGTTTGATTTCAAAATGTATATCAGATAGTGACATGCAGCTACCACTGCAGTGTTGACATTACACTTGTCCATGTTCCTCCTTCGTGTTTAGACAGCATCCAAGTGAGAGTGCAATGTCTGTCACACCATGCTGTGCACTGCTCCCTGCTTATTCAACACCACATTGTGATGTCCCTTGCATTAAGTTGACCACTGCTAGTGATTTGAAGGATTTGAAGCTCACTGGTCCACTGTCCAGAATCATGCAGAAAAAAAGTTCTGCATCACATCACTCTCCATCTATTCTGAAATGTGAAATGCTGAGCAAACTGAGAATCCTACCACAAGAAAACAAGTCAGCAAAAAATCACCAGATCTGGTGATGTTGCTGCATTGGCACACCCAGATTCCCTGCAACTACTGAGGTATCCATCTCTGTCTTCAAGTCACATGCCTTTTATTTTCTCCCTGACCTGAAGCTTAAACATCTCTGGCCCACATTTGCTCTAACAGTTATTCTCTATCATCTCTGTTAGTGTCATGTACAGACTAGACAGTGTCAACCCAGCACATTGTCATCTTTGCTTGTCTAATTCTATACAGTAACTGTGCATTCATGCATTCAGAATGTTCTTTTGTGTCTTAAAATATAAGCTTACATGACTCTATGAGCTAAGCTGCATTTAACAATTTTATTTCCAGTTTGAAATGAGAGAATTTGTTGTTTCCCCCCATTTTACATTATAATAAGTCTCTTTGGGTTTTAAAATTGTCAGACAAAACAAGATATTTGAAGGTGGCACCTTGAACTCTGGAAACGAGTGCTGGATATTGTTCACTATTTGAGAAAAAGTTGAGAAAATAAACAACAAAGTAAGTGATTAAAAAAAAGTGCTAGTTGTGCTACTAACCCAGTCTATGATATAGCTATTAATAGTTGCTTTAAAAACCCCAATCACACCAAGTGAATATACAATCATTGCCTATAAAATTGTATGTATAAATAGCAGATGATCATAATCAAAACATAAAATGATCCAAAAAAAAGAATGTGAGGTGAAAAAAAAGACTCAAATAACCATATTAATTAAGAATGGCTACAAAAAAAGCTGGCGAGCGAGGTCTCTGTTGTAATTAACCTCCCTTTTAACCATGAGCACCTGCTTCACAGTGATATCATCTTTAAAAGACAAGGACATTTGTTGTATTTGCCACTGAGTCATTAATAAGATCAGTTTCCCAGGCTTCTCGCCCACCGTCAGGCTCCAGTGATGTGGAGACACACTCATACACACATAAGTCACGCGTTTAACCCAATGAAGCGCTCTCTGCAGTCTGTGTCGGATCCAGGCCTGAAGATCACACCATTCTTGAACCAAAGGCGGCGATGATGCACTGGTTTATTCAGGGAAGATGACTTTATGATTTGGCTTATTGAGTCATCAGATGTAAAGTGAATGCTGCTGATACATGGGAAGTGTTCACTGGCATCATAGTGAGGGAAACAAGTCTCATGAACTGCATAAATACAATTAATTTAATCATTGTTAAATGAGAAAACAAGTTATGGCAATAGCTACTGTGAATATCGGCAAGCAAAAACATGACAAGTGGTGGCTGTACACAGAGAGAGAGGGAGGAAACACAAAAACACAAAGAGAGAAAGACAGACAGCAGGGGAGAGGCAGAAATGGGGCGCTTAAGCTGAAATGTGATTTAAGCCTCTTACCCAATGATAACCACCACCACCCACCTCCCTCTTTCTGCCTTCTCAGACATCCTTCAAAGAGAAGAGAGGCAAAAGTGGAGCATCCACTGCTAAACATATGAGATCCACATCAGTTTGAAGTGAAAAACATTTGTAGACTACACAGAATTCAGAGTGCAAACCACCGCCAAAGCAGATCAGTCTCCCCATAATGCTGTTTCAAATAAAAGCAATATTCCCATGATAGTTTGACCCTCATGATATTTCCTTGATTATGAAACCTGCCCTTAGCATTTGAAATCACATTGGTATTATTGTTAGTTTGAAAATTATTCAAGAACAATTATATTTCACTAATGGCTCTTCAGGATCTAGTGCAGCAGCTGTTGAAGCTACATTAGACTCATGGCCATCTACTGAATCTGCTGAGTTCCAGCTATTTGGTGTTAGTTGCAACTCTGTAGCATTATTTATGGTCTCACATTAGCAAGCTTTCCATGAACCCTATAAATATGAACACTGTGGATCACCAGATCCAGAATATTACTTCAAACTTTGGTGTCAAACAGCACCAAAATCTAATACATTATTCTGTCAGCCATATCCTACCTCTTCCAAAATCGTTTCATCAAAATCCAGTCATTACTTTTTGACAAAGGCCAGTAAAAACAGAACTTCCTTGGTGGAGGTAATAGCTTTATATTTGTGAATAAAACATAAGGACTGCACTTGTCCAGGGCGTACCCCGCCTCTCGCCCAATGTCAGCTGGGATTGGCTCCAGCCCTTCCATGATCCTCTACAGGACAATCGATATAGATAATGGATGGATGGATGGTTATAAGGACTAATTTTAAAAGAATCACAACCAATGTTTGGTACATGTGTGCTGTTATGTTTTGTAAATTCTAAATAATACAAGAAGGTCATAGTCATAAAAAGATTTGTTAAACTCAGAAAACTTTACCACCTTACCAATTTGAAAGCAGGTCCACAATTTTCCTGCACACAGCCTAACAACCTCCCACCAGGCTGCATTAAAACTGCTACCTCAGCAAATCTACCGAAGACAGTACAAGCAATTTGTTTCAGAAAATATTTAATCAATGAATTCCATAACATGGGTTTTTGATAATCTACAGGTCCCACATTTAGATTTGTCAGCTAATTTGTAGGAATTTATTTGTGCTGAAAAATGATAGCATATCTGGATGCAGTTTTCTGATTTCTATAAGATGAAGCCTTAATGGAAAACTAAGTCAACTAGAGCACCAAAAACCGCTGTTTTTATTGATGAACTTTGTCATTTTGATATGGAACCATGCCACTTAGTTTATGTTGGAAGAAATACACTCACACTAGTATATTTCGCGTAGAGAGAGTGCTTCTTCAATGCAGGAGAATTTATAGTCTGTCATAGATATCTGGTGAAAGACAGGCCTCTCCTATCCACTGGAAACAGTGTTAGGGTTATGTAAGTCAGATTACTTTAAGGCACCATCACACCACCAGTGCTTTCATCCATGAATCAGTTACACACATAATAAAATGAACAAAATTATGCAATTTACAGAAAAAAACAATCTACAAATACACTTTTAAGCCCATATATGCTCCAGACAACAATGTTTTACCAATTTGATGGTAATGTTGTTGGTATGTAAACAACCAACATGGATAGTTGACCCAAAATAAGCACAAACGGGGTGTGTACTTTTGAAAACATACAAAACTAATGGAAAACAGTTATAGTTTGAGGCTGATCAGTGCCCACTTCTTTTAAATGAGTTTTTCCTCCCCATCGTCGCCAAGTGCTTGCTCAAGGGGGATTTGTTGGTTTTCCCTATGTAATAATATTAATAACAGTAAGGTCTAGACCTTAGTTTGTAAAGTGTCCTGAGATGACTTTTGTTGTGATTTGGCGCTATACAAATAAAATTTGATTTGATTTGATTTGATCCAAGCTACTATTCTTCATCTTTAGTGGTCTGTAACACTGACTTTGTTTTTGATAGAGGAGTAAGTAAAAAAAAAAAGAACTTTAAGGGCATTATGAGTTAACAGCACCATTTACAATTAAGCCAGCCAAAAATGTGAATAAAGGAAAGACTGCTCAGGCTGTTTACAAGTGCTGTAAATTCAATATTGACACAATGGCCAAAGCTAAACTCTGTGTTCTGAACTAAGGTCACTGTTAGTCATGCAAAAAGTCAGGTCAATTGATCTGATATGATCCATCCATGAAATTAAGCTATGTAATTAAATCTCACTTGAGTGCATGTTGTGGATACAAACTCCACTGGGACCCCATGTGCTAATGTGAGTGGATTCTGTAGGACATCAGTCATGTGAAGCACATGGACCAAGAAATGATGTAAATGGTTGTTGCATTATATGCATTCTTGCTGAGAGCGTCCACCATTGAACTCTTAACTTTACCCCCATTTTCTTCACTTTTCCTTGTTCTGCTTTTAAGTCAGTGAGTTATGTTACATCATAAATATACTAAAACATACTGTATATAATAGCAAGAATATACAAATTATTTTTACATATGGGACTCCTTGTTCTGTATTTGGTAACTTAAAGGAAGACCTTACAGCAGCAGGAATGAACACTGGATGATAGTAGAGATACAATGAAATCTGTCATAGTGCTACTGCTTATTCTGCCAGGCAAAATTAGATCTGAACATAACAATTTTGCCCAACAAGCACAAGTCTTATCAGACCTAATTTACATCTACAAACCAATTCTCCTGTCATTTCTTCTAACATGTAAAGGTAAAACCCATGGAGGAAATACTGGTGCTGTATCAGTGATTCTGCCAAAGTTACCTGCCTCTGGTGACTGGCTGTGGAATCCCTCACAATTGGGTTTAGGCACACAAAAAAAACAACAAAAAACAAAAACGCAAGCAGATTTGTCATATTTAGTGAGGCAGAGGTTAGAGGTGTTTGAAACATCATCAATATCAGTGGTACTTCTGTAAATCATTGTTCAGCAACATGCCCTTGCCAGGGCTGGACTCAACAGGGCGTGGGCCTCACACAGAGAATGCGCAAGGCGGCGACTGTCGCGACAGCTAAAGATCAATCGTTTCCTATGTGTTTTTCCACTTACCCTTCTTCACGGTTTTCAGGAAGGAATTAAACAAATGTCTGTAAAAACGGTTGTGTTCATAAAGTGCATCAGCTCCGAAATGCAAGCAACCAACTGAAGCTCTTCTAGGCGTACAGAGAGGCAGCACCAGGCCTGGCAGGTTATTCAAAATATCTATTAGCCAATACGACCCAGGGCTGGGAATGTGCGCTTTACTGCAGCCATCAAAACAAAACTGATATGTTTCTTGTATTTAGTGTCTTTTTCCCTCTCATCAACTGCGCGCATCGCCCCATCATCCCTCTACATGTAAGTCTTACCTGCAGCCAGGAGGAGAGAGGGAATGGAAAGTGGATAGGGAAAACATCTCAGCCCTGTCCGCCATCTTCTTCCACAAATGACTCAAAGCGACTGCAGAAAATCACGGAGGGAGCGCAGTCCATTCACAATCACAGGGCACAGAACGGACTTAGCCGTGGACAGAGGTTTTTCTCTCTCTCTGCGGCCCCACAGATGGCCCCCTGGCCGCAAGCCTTCAATCAGACGAGCCTGCTCAACACCATCAAATCTGCAGTCAACCATCCACACAAGCAGGGTAGGAAGGGGTGTCGAGGCAGGAACGATATTCAGAAACAGCGCACAGCACGGAGGAAATCAAATTACAATCCTGTGTTCCACCGCTACGTCCGCGCCAATCGTAAGCGCGCAGTATGCGACCGCAGCCCGTGCTCTCGTTCGCCAAATGTCCGCTGCTGTGATGCTGCCTGTGGCACACAAGGGATACGGACCAGCAGTGCAGAGACTGGCAGAGGCAGTGGAAGAGGGGGTGTGGAAGAGAGACGATGTAACGTCAGTTAGTACCGTTACCGTATGAGCAGGCTGTCCTGAGTAGATGCAGGCATATTAGACTCGACAAGCAGCAAATCATAGGCGTAAATGTCCGTGGAGTGTTTACAGTGACATAACACTGACAGTAAAATTTACTGCCAAAGGAAGTATTCCTTCCAAAGTAGAGTCCTGGATCCACTGGTCCTTGAGGGTAATCCCGTAAAGATCAGCAGGACAATGGATTTTGATATTGTTTGGCCCTTTTTTTTATGTCAGTCCTTTTTATACAAAAAGCGAAGTGCTGACAGCAGATGAGCACGGTGCAACAGGAAATGAACAAGGACCAGGTCAATGGCCCAAAATCTGACAGAATGAAAAGGCACAATGATCTGGTGGATTCTCGTGGCACACACAATCCAAAGAAAACAAATGAAAAAAATCTCCTTCAAGGTTAGATGTTTGCTACAGTACATATAAAATGACAGTTGTGTTACAGTTTCAGTGTGCCTGTACACTGCATGTACAACAATATGGATGAGTATGCAATATCTACACCGTAGCTTATCAGGAACATAATAATAAATGTAGGCTGGACCTTACAAACTGGGTGTGAAAGTGGTATAAAAAAAAACAAAAAAAAAAACATTTGTAATCCATATTTCAATATTAATTATGTAATTTAGCAGATCATTGAACATGGCGTGATTGTCAAAAAAGTTTTTTGTTAGTAAAATCATCATAATGGGTTATATACAGCACCTATAGTTGATTCCATTTTTCTCCTCCACAGGACATGTGGTCTTTTAGAGAAATAAAAGTATCGGCATGTTGTCTTTAAACTGCCATTGGTTACAGGAAGGTTACAGTCTCCCTTGCTTTCTACAGTATTTACCTCTGGATCCCACCTTGTCAGTGAGGAATCACGTCGCGAATCACACCTCAGAGCTTATGTCATGCTGTACTGCGCAGGCGCAGTATGGAGCTGTTCACTGCCGGTGGTGCTGAAGTTCTGCACCTTGCGAAGCAGCAGTTGACAATTTGTGACACACGATGGCGGTAAATGCTTACTACCTGGGGGATGAGCGTTTACAAAACAGGTATACATCCTAATGTTAGGCCTTCGTTTATGAAATAACAGGATTTGCCAAGTTATTCAGCTGACAAACAGTGGTGAAAGGGAAGGTAAAGCCAATTTCAACTAACCTGACATTTTATTTAGTCTTATAGACTACCTGAAATGAAAATGTATAGTATCATAACTAAGAGGAAACTGCTAGAGTAGGATATGTTATACAATATAACTGTAGGGTCTTAAATAGATACTAAATGCTTTATTTATTTATCTATTTGGTTGGTAAATTTGTGAATTTAACTAATAGGCAATCATACAGTAGTATGTTCTATTCCTGTTGTTATTTTCTGTATGCTCAGTGAAGGACACCAGCTTTTCACACAGTTGCAATTTTATTTCCACCAAAATGAAAGATTTACAGTTTATGAAGTGGTCCTTATATAATATCTTTACATAGTAGGCTAAAACAAGTTACATTTTTTGTCACAGGGACTTCTGTTTTTGCACACTTCTATTATGTTTTTGATGCATCAAAATTTGATTACATTTAATGAACTAAGTGGTGTTTCTTTACTTGTTTAAATTCAACTACTATTGAGTGATTTTAACTCAGTATCTTGATCAATTCCTCCTTCCAACTGTTCCAACAAGAAGCAAGAGAATAACATACAAACAGTTATGAACAGATGATAATGTCCATTTTGATGGTTATAGTCATGGCAGGAAATTGAGTTACTCCTCCTCCTCCCTCTCGTCAACAGAGAAGGGACCCAGGGTGACTTTACCTTCCCATTCAGGCCCTGAGGAAACAAAACAGAAAACGTCTTACATTTTGTGCCACTGTGGCTGCCCGACAACACAAGTAAGCATACAACAAGGTAAATTGTCATTATGATAGTGGTAACATAATATAAATCTGAAAATAAATAAATCATCTGTCAGTGTTGTGATAGGTTGACACTTCTGTTTTTCTTTATGTTATCAAAGACTTCAGACTTAATTTTTACATAACGTACTTTCTTTGGGCACATGACGGACCGGCCTTTTAGGAGGAGGCAGAACATTTTGTCCAGGGATTTTTCCAGGGATTTTTCCAGGGATTTGTCCAGGGGTTTGTCCAGGGATTTGTCCAGGGGTTTGTCCAGGGGTTTGTCCTGGGATTTGTCCGCCGGGTTGTCCACCACCAATACCAGATGCACAAGAGCCACAAACTGCATCAGCACCACCAGCCTCCTTCCACACACTGTAGGAAGAAAGTGAGATGTAAGACGTAAGTACCACATCAGTTCTCCAACCACATATTTTCATTAACTCATGTGCACACTTGCAGATTCACCCATTGATGTAGGAACAAGCTCTGTTGTGCTCATTGGGATGATCGGTAGCAAGTGTTGCTCTCACATGGCAGGTAATGTAGAGCTGTTGGAATAATAGAGTTTGGGTTATAATTGTCATTTTCTGTATTTCATTTATAGCCAAACATACTATATAAATAACACCATCCAGGAGATGCTCACCAGTCCACTAGTAGCGCCTTGGAACCTGAAGGCCTCTAACTGGAAGTGAAGCTTGTCGTCTTCAGTGCGAGGCATGAATTTTGAGGTAGAGCCTGTGATCGCAGCATCAAGCAAACACCTGCACACAAGAAAAATACAGAATAATATTACAAAGTACGTGGACAACAAAAATGTTCTGGTGTTTGTGATTATTGATCCTTACTGTGTGGAGCAACTTAAATTAATTTGTCAAACTACCTCACCCATTTTCAATGAAGACATATCTTGGGTTGGAGTTATCGTCATGTGAAAGAGTAGCGACACAGTAGTCCACAAAAACACGGAGATACGCATGGAAGTACTGCTTGACGGATGCCTCAATATTAATGATGTCTCCCAGGTAATACTGGTAGCTTGGCCTCACATACTGCCAGTCGTCTGTGCAGAAAAATAGGGACATTTTAAATCACACAATCCATAAAAGTTCAAACATGCAATTAAAAATTTCTTTAACTCACCGGTCATAAGTTTCATGCTGAAGTATAAGAACTCCTCTGCTACTTTAACTGCAGCGAATGGGACCCAGAGGGGGTCAAGAGGAAGGCTGCTCACATTGTGCTTCCTAAATGATTAAAAATGTTTCCTTTGAATGCAGAAAACTATAGTATTTTTTTAGGAAAAAATGTCCATTTATCAATCATGTTTGGTAATATATTTACTTAATGGATTTGATTAGGTCAAAGGTTACAGATTATATATCTCAATTAGTTTTTTATTTTGGTTTGTGATTGATTGTGTTTTGGTAGTTTATTGCTACAGCTCTAACTGATAGTCTACATACCTTGGGTAGTGGCATTCCACATGAACAGCAGCTTTGCTGGTCCTCACCACAGGAGCATTACCCAGAGGTTGGGGATTATAGTTCACAGTGAAAGTGTAGATGAGGGAATTCTCTGTCATCTAGCAAATAATTAACTGTTAGTACAAACAAATAAAATTATACATGAAAAACTTCTCTAATAGTTTTAATTATAATGGATTTTTTTTATTTTTCCGTGATCTGTTTATTTAATTGTGCTTACCATTAATGAGCTGCCACAGTCTTGCAGTTGAGAGTCAAGAATCAACACTTGAGGACTTTCTGCGACAACGGCACAGTTTCCCAGGCTAAGGTCAGAAGCATGGATTAACTGGCCATTTCCAAAAAAGTCCTTCTGGACTTCCACATAAACATCATTCTCTCTGCACTGAACAGCAACAGTTGCAACAGCAACAGGATGTCTCAATACAAAAGGCACATCGGGTTGGACCTCAGGCTTGGGATCTTCAGGGTACTTCCAGTCTAGATCTTTCGCAAATGGCTGCTTTTTCTGTTGGGTGTCAGATAGAGGCACCTGCTCCGGAGCTGGTGGTGACTTCAGCAGTCTAGGTGAGAAGGAATTGTAAATACGACCATCCCACTGAGCATCACAGAAGCTGCCAAGCAAGGCCAGTGCCACAAGGCACGCAGCAGTACATTTCATCACCATGCCTTCCCAACAACAAGTGATCTGCACAGTTCAAGTGCTGAACAGAGGGTGGATACGTGCACCTACTTTTATAACAGAGTGATACATTCCCACCCCTTCTATTGGCCATTCCCCATCAAACCTGATGAGTGTAAACCTTAGCCAATGAAATGATTACTGCTGTTGACCAAAAGTTATGATGTACAGCTCTGGAGAAGCATTTCCATTTTGCTTTAAATTATTCACTCTTTTAATGTGCAAAATGTGGCTGTGCCAAAAAAATACAAGTTGTGCATAAAAGAATTATTTTAAACAAACTTATAAACTAAAGTTTTGTTTTTTTGTTCTTTAAACAAGTGAGGGAAAAACATATAAATCGCTGACATCCACGTACTCAGAAAGTAGTGGTCACAAACGGTTATGTTGACCCTGGGTTAGGTCTACCTGTTCTCAACATGACATGTCAAACTTTGTTTTTTGCCAAAGTACATTTTGTAAAGGCTTGCAAATCAATACAGCTCCTACCAGTATCACCTGAGATTAACCACCAAATACAAAAAGAATACAAATACCAAGTGTTCAGTCAATTTCAACACTTGTAGCCTAAGTCCAGTCAACCTCAAAGGATACTTATTATGCTAAGTTTCGTGTTTGTATTTTTACTCCAGGGGTCTGCTAGAAATGTTTGCATTCTATAACGTTATAAAACTTTTTTTTTTTATACTGTCCATTTACTGCAGCACCTCCTTTCAGACTCTGCTTGAGATGGTCTGTGTATTTAAGGCCCCCCTTCCCTCCACCTGAAATCCCACTCTGCTCTGATTGGTCAGCTTCCACAGGCCTAAGCAGGAACCATCTACGAACTCCAAGCAGTGACACTTGTTACCTAAACAGTTGCATGAGGCAGGCAGCACGTTGGAGCAGGAGCGTCTTTGAGTCCAGAAGTGGTAAATTTTGAAAATGTTGACTTTTATGGCAAGTGAATCGGATGAAGATGAAAGAGAATGGACTGAACTTTGATCAATGAGAGTAAGGAAGAAGAATTCAATATCCAGTCACAGTGAGTTGGAAATAAATTCAAAAAACAAGGAAAAGGAATCAGAATGAAGTGGGATCATATGCAGTACAGCTCAGGAAAACTACAGGGCGTACATCTAGAAATTTGGCTTTTAAAAAAGATTGAAGAATTTAAAAGGGTTGAACAAGGAAACAAAGTAATAGGGTGTGGTGATTATTTTGCTCACAGTATGGGGTGGGGTGGAGGGGAATTAATGTTTTTAAATAATGGGCAAGGATGTAGGCTTAATCATAATTGGCATAGTATACAGCAGAGGGGCAAGCAACCAGCCACAGGCCTCATTCCAAGGAATATTTTCCATTGTGTCCATCTTGATATACATAGGTCATAGATTATCTCTTCATTTCAGTGGGAGAGCCATTAATTTCATCTGATTAATCTCTGTGATTATTTTTTTTCTTTTGCTGTTGCACTAAATCTTTTTATAGTCACAGTATATGTGATGCTTGTCAGTTGAATTTTATTTTATTATACAAGAGGTGGGTTAGGCTTGATCATGTTGTAGATGTTTAGCAATGACAAATACACTTAAAGATAAGGGGAGGTATTTGGTTTGTCTAGCCCTGCTGCACAAATGTGACCTGTACAGTGTTGGGTCATACAGACCTAGTGAAGGATTTTGTTTTGAAATTGTTTATACAAACTGAAATTTCATTCATTCAGGATCAATAACAAGTCTTGGGTTCTCTGTAGCAAGCATGATGGCAGACACTTAGTATCCACTGATGCCATATCTATCTAAAATGTTTCAGAGTTTACTTTTTTGGTATTTTCTCTAATCTCCTCATTGCTGTACCACAGACCATTCAGTAGGTGAAGCATTTGATTGAATGTTGTGTGCAGCAAAGACTATCAGTATGTGTGTGTGTGTTTTTTTTTTCTTAACACTGAGTGGTCACAATATAAAAGATGTCAGTTTTATCAAGAACTGACACTGAATTCTCAACAGTGGATCAGTTCAGTGTGATACTTTGCAAGCTAAACATCACTCAGATGATTTTCTGATATTGACTTTATTTCTTTTCTCAGGATGCTTGGTCCAGTGTTTGGTTCCTCCAATAGAGGGATACTGGAGAGAACTGATCCCATCCTTGTCATGACTCTTGGAAAGTGCTGCATAACTTATGAGCCCTAACATCACAATTGGGGGGGGGGCAAGTCAACAGAAATACTCTTTTACAGACATTGGATCTCCTTTCCTTCAACCCATTATCTAAAGCATCCAACCATCAACTGATTTCCAATAAAGAGGCGTGTCCTCCATAAAAGACTTTAGTGAAGGATGATTTTGTGTACCCTTACTCATGTCTCCTCCAGGCATCCTCCTTGCTCCTCAAGCCTTACTGCTCAGAGGAGGAGTATGAGGTTTGGGATGTCCTTTAACATTGCAGAACGGAACAACTTCCAGGTTGAGCAAGGATAATGGAGCAATTAAATAAAGGAAATGGAATTTGTCCTTTGACTCCTCTCAAGGAGGAGTAGGTATAGTATATTACTGTATAGAAAATAATGTTTTTTAAATTTGTTGTTTTGTATTTATATTATTTTAATATCACCATACCTACATATTTACAAGCAATACACCTATTTCCTGCAAACTGTATATCCACTGTGACACAGCTTTGTGCTAGCAGTCTCTTGGAAATAATGCTGAAACTAGGTGCTTTAGACAGGCTATGTTGTACAATATTCAGTTTGATAATGTGGTGTTTGTATGAAGTCTTTTCCACACTTGACATAATCTTGTCTCACTTAACCTTAAGTGACCATTGCCATGCACTGTACACAGAGAGGGACATTATGGTTTTTGAGGCTTCCTAGCTGCAACCACTTTGTTAGCAGTGTCTCATTGACCAAAGCCAGAGTTTTGAGTAACATTATCCAGACACAAATTTCTTGCAATGAAATGTCTGTTTTAGATGCTTACTGAAAAGTGACTGGGTTTCAAATAAAGCTTCAGGTTGCTGGATATGTTGCTGATCTCATGTCATTCAGATATAAACTGTGATCACCATAAAGGCTAAAACAAATACTATAAGTCATTTAAATACATCCAGAAGATCATAATATTATGAGGGTGCCAGAATAAAGTTGTCAATTTTAATTTCTGAATAAAATTAAACCACTAGATAAACTGACTTAGCCCTAGTGTATTAAAATAAGAACATATTTGAGTAATTTGTGATTGTTTTGAATACCATTAGCTTTTATGAGGAAGGTTTCATGGAATTTAGCGTATTTTCTTTTCAACTTTTTAAAGTTTTTACAGGGACGCACTAGCGTTCACGAATATTCCATGTTAAAATGCAGGCTATACTCTATTGCTCTCAATCAAGCCAAATATAAAACATAGAGTATGCTAATAATACATACGAATACAGAGTAAAAAAATCTACATTTTTAAACTGTTATTTACTGAGTGAATAAAATGTTTTAAAATGCCCAATCCGTTTTTTTTTTGGTTTTTTTTTGTTACAGTTAAGTATGTTTTCAAAGTAGCCTAATATTTAACGTTTAAGGGAACATTTTACTGCAGTATAAAGGAAATTAGGAGTGTAGCCTATTTCCCAACCTGGGGGTTTGGGATCCACAGAGAGGGGGTGAAATGAATTATAGTTTTTTAAAAATACGTCTCAAAGAATCCAGCCTTGTCTTCATGTTTACGCCAGGGCCTAAATCGCAAACAAAAACTTCATTTCCCAGAAACCTTCACCGCACGGAAGCCGGAAACGTATGACCCCGTAACGACCAATGGAATTAGCAAGTGAACAAGAATCGAATTGTGATTGGACCTTGACTATGGAAAGGCGACGAAACGCACATCTGAATATATGACACTTTAATGGTCCCTATTAAGTCATCCCACATGGGATCTAGACCATTCTGCTGTGTTTGGCTTTTCCGGATAATCAAGTTTAGCGGCGAGTTGCGTTTGTCAGCGAGTCGCTCCCGTTGCGTCAGCCCGATATTTCACAACCGTATTCCCTTACTCTTCGCTCGGAAACTTACGATGCAGTCAAGTCGAAATGTAGCCGTGGGTGACTGTAGTTACGGCGAAGGGAGCATGAGCACTGCAGAAAAAACACGTCCGGAGCTTCTCAGCATTATTCCGACTGTCTCAACAAAACACACCGATATCACGGCGGCGAGGAAACAAGTAGGAAGCACGCTTGTCCTTAGCAGAAACACAAACACCCCGAGTCCTTTCTCTGGGGCCAACTGTGATGACGACTCGGAGGCAGAGTCTTTTCAGGATGGGAGAACCGAGGATGTGGACCGGGACACCAGGTGCAGGGCTTTTGTTTGGTGCCGAGACTTTCTTGCAGGCTCGTGGAAGACTATACAAGAGGATGATTTTCAAATCAGCATTGTAAGGTAAACTGTCAGCTACAGCTGTAATGGCGGTAAAAGGCTATAGTATCCATGTGATTGTGAAAACGGGGTAAGCGGGGGTTAAACTTGGCCGGAGCCACCAAGGTACCATTAAGACGTCTGGAGGTAGAACTGGGCTGCGGTTCCTTCAGCATCATAACGTTGCTAACTTTCACTTCTGGCTTGAGGCATCTACTTTTTGACACCGTTTCAAGCTGACCAAACAAATGTAAAACGTACTGTTGTTCTCTGGTGCTTCATGGAAATCATACATGTTGTGTATAACAAAGTATCAGGTGACCCCCTCCGTGCCTTCTTGGGAATCCTTGAGGTGTGTTGATCCTCAGGTTGAGAACCAATATCAAGTCAAATTCAAGTCAGATTTTATTTACGCACTGCCAGACAAAAGTGTGGACCCACTTTTCCATTTAACTCAGTGGGAACGTATGTTCAACCTTGTAACTGGTGGTGTATAGCACAAATCACAGATTTTCCTTGAGGGCCTTTGTTTTATATATTATGGTATAGCTAGTATTGCTCCTTTCATATTTAGTATTATATCATTCTGCTTTACCAAATATTTATGTAAGGAGGTATGAACTTAATTGTCTAAGCAGAACACAGTTTACAGAAAATAGAATAGGCTGTTTTGTCAGTGTGTGTCATGATACTAAACCTGTTTTGTACTTTTTATGTTGACTTTCCCAGTAAACATAAAGCAAAATCTATTGGCGTCTCATGACTAATCTTAATGACTATGGCTTCTGTAATGTGATAACACTGTTTTTGTTTTGCAGTGGTGGGCTGAGTAATCTACTGTACCTGTGTAGTTTGCCTGAGCATGTGCAGTGTGTCGGAGAAGAACCTCGCCAGGTGCTCCTCAGAGTCTATGGTGCCATCTTACAGGTCTGTGTGTCTAGTAGGGGTCCTTGGGAAATTATATGTTTGACAATGTGTGTGTGGCTGCACATATTTAATTATCATAGAGAGAAAATGATAGTGTGATGCATTCATACAGTATAGCATTATTGTCAATCTGATGTGGCAGTTTGATTGTTCTTCACATGGAAGTATGAAAGTACCATCATACTGTGACTGTTTTTCTGTGTATCTCTGTGACAGGGAGTGGACTCTCTGGTGTTGGAGAGCGTGATGTTCGCCATCCTGGCAGAACGAACTCTAGGACCAAAGCTTTATGGCATTTTCCCCGAGGGACGCTTAGAGCAGTACCTTCCAGTATGAGGCACACATTGTTGCGTGCACAAACACACACATAACCATGCCCACAAACTGTGTGGCTCTTTAGCTTCAGCCAAAGTGCATAAATGTCTTTTGTGTGGAACAATGAGACGTGTCCATAACTTTTATTAGATGAAAATAGCTGTTGTTTATTGTGTACGTTATTGTGTAGAATATTATATTTAGAGTATTCTGAAAGCTTTTTTGTCCTTTGATCACAAAACATTGTTCTTGAAAAATGCATTCACATGGAAAAATGCTCCTCAGTTGCCTACATAGCCCCATTGAACCTGTGGAGATTTAAAAGTCCTACTGTTACTTGACTTAGTTCCTAATGTTGAGGAAGCCAGAGGAGGGAGTAATTCACCCATGTGCAAGTCACATGCCAGGTCTAACTGTTTAAACTTAAAGGTAGCTTTCTAGCTAATGTTTGACCAGCCAATAAATTAGCTAACGTGCACATTCACGTACTTACCTTTTTTTGTGAGCTTTGTAGTGACACTAATAAAGTTGGACATTGTGGTGGTCGTGTCACTGATTTTTATGCTGCAGACTTTGCATACTTCTTACTACCATCATCGACGACATAATCTTTGAATCCAAATGTTATTATTTTTGGACTAGGCCCCTCCATAACTGCATCCTGTGACCTATGTTGCCCTCAGCTGGTCTTACGTTTTCTGGTAGGTTGCCAGGTTTGCGTGCATTGCCCTAGAAATCATCCAATTGTGTTTCAAAAACAAAACTTAACTTCTCAATATCTAGAAAAATGCAAATATTTAATTTAAAAGGTGAAGTAACTTTGAGTCATTTGTCTAAGTCAAGTTTCAAGTCATGAATACCAAGTCAAAGTCAAGTCGAGTCTTTTACCAGTGTTAGTCAAGCAAGGCTCAAGTCCTCAAATATGCAACTTAAGTCTGACTTGAGTCAAGTAATGTGACTGGAGGAAGCATTTGCAGAAGTAGTGATTTCTTTGTGTCTCTGTTTCCCTAGAATAGCCGAATGCACACAGATCAACTTTCAGATCCGGCCATCTCAGCTGAGATTGCCACCAAGTTGGCACATTACCATAACATGCTTATGCCCTTTAACAAAGAGCCTAAGTGGCTGTTTGGGACCATTGACAAGTAAGCACACCTTGATATCACTCTCTTTCTGCTACTAGAATGGCCTGTTTTTGTAGTTAAGTGTACTGTATTTTTTTTTTCTTTAGATACATGAATCAAGTGATGAAGCTTAGTTTTGTACGAGAAGCACACTTGAAGAAGTACAAGAGGCTGATGAAGTTGGACCTACCTGCTGAGCTGGAGAGCCTCCGGTGAGTTGGGTCACAGGCTTCAGATAGCCAAATTCTGTCTTTTACATTGAGTGAATTTGTAGGGTATTTAATACATTAAGCCTTAAAATGTGTGGTAGGTAGGGTTAAGGAAAAAATCTACAATGAAACCTCTACCATAAGGCACTACAATTAATCATTCCGTGAGTGTGATTTTGATCCCTGTGCGATCTCAGTCTCACGTGACAATGATTTTGCCATGTCTGCGACAAGGAGATGCCTTGTATCAAACCAACTGCTCCCTCATCCTTGCTAAGCTGTGTTAACCAACAGGAATGCGTTACATCACGTGATGACCTGTAGAGAGGGAGAGAAGATTCGATTCAAAAACAAATCCAGCATGTTTGACATTGTGAAAGATGATCTTTGTCCTCCTGCAACTATTTTTCAAACGTTGTGCTGCCTGCCCTGTACAGCTAGTGCTGAATAGCAGTTAAGGCAGGAATAAATCACTTTGCAGTTATTAGTTGAGGTTATTGGTTAACACAGCTTAGCAAGAAAAAGGGAGCGCCGACATTAAAATGCTTACATTTTAAGTAGTAATGTGAACTCTTGCAAAACCAAAGGTACATGTTTATTTCTACCCCAAAAGTGGCAATTTGTAAATGTGCAATAATTTGGAGAAGCGTGTGTGTGTGTGTGCTTGGCCTCTGACTATCTAGTGGTTGCACTTATCCATCATTACACATATTTAATATTTTGTTTTAGTGTTAATTACTTTATTGTAATGAAAGAGCTCTTGCATCAGAATCTGTATCGAAATTGGTTCAGAACTGAAAAAATGTGGATCGGCCCATCTCTAATTGCAACCTGTTCAGCTTCTCGTAATGGACCTCAAAAATGGCTGAATAATAACAATCATGTCAGAGATGATGTGAAGAAGGGAAATTCAGTGGTTAAATGGGTGTGTGCATACACTGTTTTCTGCCTCTGAGGCTCCAGAGTAACTTTCATGGAATATCAGGGAAAATACAGTGGATATAAAAAGTCTACACACCCCTGTGATGTAAAAAAACGAGACCAAGATAAATAATTCCAGAACTTTAGCCACCTTTAATGTGACCTATAACTTGTACAACTCAATTGAAAACAAACTGAAATCTGTTTTTCAGTGGGAAGTAAAAATAAAAAACTAAAATAATGTGGTTGCATTAGTGTGCACACCCTCTTACTGTGGGGCTGTGACTGTTGTCAGAATTAAGCAGTCACATTCAAACTCATGTTAAATAGGAGTCAGTACACCTGCCATCAATTAAAGTGCCTCTGATTAACCCCATATAAAGTTCAGCTGTTCCAGTAGGCTATTCCTGACATTTTCCTAGTCGCATCCTACAGCAAAAGCCATGGTCCGCAGAGAACTTCCAAAGCATCAGAGGGATCTCATTGTTAAAAGGTATCAGTCAGGAGAAGGGTACAAAAGAATTTCCAAGGCATTAGATATACCATGGAACACAGTGAAGTCAGTCATCATCAAGTGGAGAAAATATGGTGCAACAGTGACATTACCAAGAGCTGGACGTCCCTCCAAAATTGATGAAAAGACAAGGAGAAAACTGGTCAGGGAGGCTGCCAAGAGGCCTACAGCAACATTAAAGGAGCTGCAGGAATTCCTGGCAAGTACTGGTTGTGTAGTACATGTGACAACAATCTCCCGTATTCTTCATTTGTCTGGGCTATGGGGTAGAGTGGCAAGACGGAAGCCTTTTCTTACAAAGAAAAATATCCATGCCCGGTTACATTTTGCAAACACACATTTGAAGTCTCCCAAAGGCATGTGGGAAAAGGTGCTATGGTCTGATGAAACCAAGGTTGAACTTTTTGGCCATAATTCCAAAAGGTATGTTTGGCGCAAAAACAACACTGCACATCACCAAAAGAACACCATACCCACAGTGAAGCATGGTGGTGGCAGCATCATGCTTTGGGGTTGTTTTTCTTCAGCTGGAACTGGGGCCTTAGTCAAGGTGGAGGGAATTATGAACAGTTCCACATACCAGTCAATATTGGCACAAAACCTTCAGGCTTCTGCTAGAAAGCTGAAGATGAAGAGGAACTTCATCTTTCAGCACGACAATGACCCCAAGCATACATCCAAATCAACAAAGGAATGGCTTAACCAGAACAAGATAAAAGTCTTAGAATGGCCCAGCCAGAGCCCGGACTTGAATCCGATTGAACATCTGTGTGGTGATCTGAAGAGGGCTGTGCATAGGAGATGCCCTCGCAATCTGACAGATTTGGAGCGTTTTTGCAAAGAAGAGTGGGCAAATATTGCAGAGTCAAGATGTGCATTGCTGATAAACTCATACCCAAAAAGACTGAGTGCTGTAATAAAATCAAAAGGTGCTTCAACAAAATATTAGTTTAAGGGTGTGCACACTAATGCAACCACATTATTTTAGTTTTTTATTTTTACTTCCCACTGAAAAAAAGATTTCAGTTTGTTTTCAATTGAGTTGTACAAGTTATAGGTCACATTAAAGGTGGCTAAAGTTCTGGAATTATTTATCTTGGTCTCATTTTTTTACATGACAGAAACCTGGCATTTTAACAGGGGTGTGTAGACTTTTTATATCCACTGTAAGTTACTTTTGCTGAATTTAAACCAAATGTCAACTTAAAATGTATCTATTGGGACATAAACAGTGTAATTTTGTTACTGAATAGTATTTGTTATTAACTTAGATTAAGGACATTTTTGTGCTTGCAACCTCAAAATCCTAGCTGGTGACAACAAGTGCAAATATTTACAAATAAGTACATTGTGTTCTCACCAGATCAATAAATAAAATATACGGGTCACAGTAGCTATAAAACAAAGTTGTGTAGATTAATATGAAAAGTTTGTATACTACATCAATAAATCTGTAAGAGTTGTAGTCTGAGATTAGTTACACACACAATGTATTCAAAGGGACTGGACTAGCTGTATTTTTTTGTTTCCAGCCTTATGACTGACCTTTGTCCCAGTGCCCCCATGATTGTCCTGCTGGCAGTCTGACCTTAGCAACCAGTCAGAATCAGCCCAGTGTTTATTGTCTGTGTTTATCTTGTAGATATGTGCCAGTATCACACTGAAGCAGGCATAAGATGTAGTTGCCACTGCACAGAAGTACCTGCTGCTGTCAACTAAAGTCATGGAACGTATCAGAGTTGATAGCATGTGTTATTATAGAAGACTTCATAGTCCTATGATCTGTGATTCACTCTAGGAAGTGCAGTCATTCAGACTTGACATCTGGGGATTGATTTCTATTTTTTTCCTCAAATCAAGACTTAAGTTATATACCCCAAAGTGTGTAGACAGTTGAACACTGCTTTTGCCACTTAATGAATGAGCAGTCTTTCATATTCACACCTACTAAAAGCCAACTGGGTAATCTGACTGGGTACACACGTAGATGCTTTGTATTTATATGCCTGATAACCAGCATAAATAATCACACTAAAATGTAGATTTTTTTTAAATACAATTAAACATTTATCACATATTCTGTATGTTGTCCACTGATAAGAGTGGAATTGGTGTGAATGTAATGTTGTGCAGCCATGCTGTCAGTAGAGCAGTGGAAGCTGTAGATAACACGATGTTTGTCTCATGCCTCAGTTAGTTTTGGTCTTCTTAGCATATTAATTGTTATAACTGAAGTGTAAGAAGGTTTGAGTAACACTAACTAATGCTACTACTGGATGCCACACTGACAAGCTCTTCTCTCCTCTCCCTTTAACATCATCACCATCACCACAACAGTGCACTGCTGGCGGCGACTCCATCACCGGTGGTGTTTTGCCATAATGATGTCCAGGAAGGTAGAGTCTTCTTCTGCCCAGTCCTCACACACCTGATTTGATCTGATTGATCTGCTCTCTGGCTCTACTGACACATTTCCTGGGAGAGCAGTATGTTACATAAGTCAAAGGAAGGCCACAGTGTAATTATTCATAGGGACAGTTCATATTCATATGGATCATCCTAGGAGTGACAATGAGCCTCTGAAGAAGATGAGGTGGTAGTGAGAGATTTAGGTTTAAATGGAAGCAAAAGTCACCTAAGTTGAGCTTAGACTACATGGAAAAAGTAACTGTGTGTGCGTGATTATATCAATCTCATTCCAAAAACATGCATTTTAATACTGTATAAGCTGGCTGCAGCGATTGAGAGTATTAGCACTGGTTGGTACTGGGTGGTAAGGTCTGACTCACAGTCTGCATTCCAACTCATCCCAAATTAGTTACATAAGCCAAGTTCCTCCACACCAAATTGGGAAGAAACATGTTTTTATGACCCTGTCAGTGGAGAAGCCCCCTAGTCAAACTGTTGCCACAAAGTCAGATCCACACTGTTTCTGAAATAAATTGCCCTAATTGTTTTCCTGTGATGATTTATTATTTCTGTCTTTCATTCTTGCACTGAATGCTCATTGATTGTCTCATACATGAATCAGGCGCAAATCAATTATCTTGAGCAGATTTACCTGAAAGCAGTAGTTAAGGGGCGGCTACACTGTATGGTTATGGCACTGGTGATGGTGGAAATGATATACAGCACTGTGCATTAGTGTTAAAACTGACCACAACTACAACTAATAGGCCAGACCCCAGAACAAAAGTACATTAGATGTGTCCACACACTTTTGGCTATTTATGAGATAAAACTTCTCATTTACTAAGCATGTGTTCTGTATTAGTGTTTTTTTGTTTGTTTGCTTGTTGTACAAAGGAATGTGGCTCCAGAAGAATAGTGGGAGATGAAGAAGTTGATACATAGTACATTCTTTGTTTACACAGCAACTAGAGAGTGCAACTTATAGTACAAATGATGGTGGTTTTTCCACTGCAGGTAACATCCTTATGCTGGATGACAGGGACCAAACCTCAAGACAAAGACTGATGCTGATCGATTTTGAATACAGCAGTTACAACTACAGGTAAAAGGGGTTCCTGTTTTGGCTTGTGCCTTTGTGTATTCATATAAAACATAATGTAACATTTTTTTGTGCAGGGGTTTTGACTTGGGTAACCATTTCTGTGAGTGGATGTATGATTACACCTACAAGCAGTGGCCTTTCTACAAAGCTACACTGGAGAACTACCCCACCAGAGAACAACAGGTCAGGCTAAAGACTTTACAGCCCAATAAAGACTATCTTTTCTTTGTCCTATTATTTTCAGTCTTTTTGATGGTAACAGAGGCGTATTAGAATCCAAATTAAGTGGAATGGTGTTTAATTACTGGTATGCTCAAAACTTCACATGTACTTGAAATTCCCACAATGTGAAAATTAGACACTGTGTTGTCAGAGAGCTTGGTAACATTTTTATGAACACCTTTTATATGATTGTTCTGATGTTCACTTGTGTTTTGCAGTATTATATACACACCAACCTGCATAGACTTTGGACATATTTTCCAGTTGACCTCAAAGATGTAGCCAGCAGATTTCAGGTTTAAACTCAGAAGCACTATAACATTCATTCATTCAGGCAACAACAATGGTTTTCAGCATTTCTTTATCGATTACTAATAAAATACATGTAATCTTTCTACTCCCTTGGCCCTGTGAGGCAGAGAGATAACTTTCCTACAGCTTAGTCCCAAAAGACAGTGTTCAGGGACAGATGAGTGTCACACAGTGCCATCTAGTGGTGGTATTGCAAGTGTGAGTTGAAAATTGCAAGACTGAACACAATAGCTCATGCAGAAAATTGTATCAAACTTAAGTTTTTCCCTTGGAGGACCCTGCCATGTGATGCTGTAAAACAACACACTAAAGGCTTTTTGGGTCTCATTCGGTCTCATGTTCTTAAGACCGGCTGGTAAATGAGATCCTTTGTCTGCTTGTTGGGCCCATTATTAAAATCTACATTTTTCTTTAGTCAATTGCTCTAATCAAGTGCATGTTATTAGTCCTACTGGAAATCGTGCATTGTGTGTAATTAGACACAAATCATCACTAAACGCAATAACATTCCTGAAACATGTCACAAATAATGTTGCTTTTTATTGCAGCTACATTTTATCAGACATTATTTGGCAGAGCAGAGAAGACACTCTAACATTACCACAGACCAGACACAGACTGAAGAGGATATGATCATTGAAGCAAACAGGTAACGCAGTGTTCTAATAACTGACAGCAGTTGTGAATGTGTATTTAAACATTATAGCAAAATCACCACAACTCTGGATAATTATTATTTTTGTTTTCATATGTAGATATGCATTAGCGTCACACTTTCTTTGGGGGCTGTGGTCCATTATTCAAGCCAAGATATCCAAGATCGAGTTTGGATACATGGTATGGAGAATTATGCTCTTTTCCAGTCTGATGGCAGCTGCATACTACTTTTTTTTTTTCTAGTAAACACAGTAGCGTTAGTCAGTCATGAATTTAACGAATTTACCCCGCCTCACAGTAAGCCATGTTGTTTTGCAGGACTATGCCCAGTGTCGTTTTGATGCCTACTTCAAGCAAAAGAAGCTCTGGTCCTGAAATCCACCATGTTAATGAGAATGTAGTGTCTCCTTTTTTTTTCTATCCATATCATTCTTCACGTTCACATTCTGTTCGGTTCTGTTTTCCAGCTTTTTGTTGTTGAAACTCCAGTCCTATGCAGTTCAGCTTATGGCAGTTGATGTGGAGTGGAAGGTAGACATTACAGTCTACCAACCACAGTCTAGGTATATGCGCAGTTTTAATGAAGCGCCTTTCCTCATAGTGTGCAATTTAGTTAAAGCAGGTATACAGCGAGGAAAAGAATTATTTGATCTCCTGCTGATTTTTTAGGTTTGCCCACTTACAAAGAAATGAAGGGACTATAATTTTTATCATGGGTTTATTCTAAAGGCTAGAGACAGAATATCAATAAAATTCGGTGAGGCATCCGCAGTAATGCGGTCTCTGTACCGGTCCGTTGTGGTGAAGAAGGAGCTGAGTTGTAAGGCGAAGCTCTCAATTTACCGGTCGATCTACGTTCCTACCCTCACCTATGGTCATGAACTTTGGATCATGACCGAAAGAATGATCAAGCGGCAGAAATGAGTTTCCTCCGGAGAGTGGTTGGGCACACCCTTAGAGATAGGGTGTGGAGCTCAGTCACCCGTGAGGAGCTCGGAGTAGAACCGCTACTCCTCCACGTTGAGCGGAACCAGTTGAGGTGGCTCAGGCACCTGTTTAGGATGCCCCCTGGACTCCTCCCTGGGGAGGTATTCCAGGCACGTCCCTCCAGGAGGAGGCCTCGGGGCAGACCCAGGACACGTTGGAGAGACTACGTCTCCCGGCTGGCCTGGGAACACCTTGGGGTTCCTCCTGAGGAGCTAGAGAAGGTGTGTGGGGAGAGGGAAGTCTGGGAGGCTCTGCTCGGACTACTGCCCCCGCGACACGGTCTCGGATAAAGTGGACGAAGATGGATGGATGGAGAATATCAACAAAAAATTCCAAAAATGCACGTTACAAATGTCATAAATTGAGTTGCATTTCAGTGAGTAAAACAAGTATTTGATCCCCTACCAACCAACAATAATTCTGGCTCCACAGACTGGATATGTGCTCATGTGGTGCACAGATTAGTCCTGTGAATTTAAGAAGGTGCTCCTAACAACAACTCGTTATGTGTATAAAAGACACCTTTCCACAGAATCTCTATCTTCCATTCAAACCTCACCACCATGAGCAAGACCAAAGAGCTGTCAAAGGAAGTCAGGGACAAAATTGTAGACCTACACAAGGGAATGGGCTACAAGACCATCAGCAAGAAGCTTGGTGAGAAGCAGACAACTGTTGGAGTGATTATTCGCAAATGGAAGAAATACAAATTAACCATCAGTCGCTATTGGTCTGGAGCTCCATGCAAGATTTCATCTCATGGGGTAAGGATGTTCATGAGAAAAGTGAGGGATCAGCCCAGAACTACACGGGAGGAGCTTGTGAATGATCTCAAGGCAGTTAGGACCACAGTCACCAAAGTCTCCAGAAAATCTATGGAGGAAGCTGAAACTTTGAGTTGCCAAGAAACCTTAAGGATTTAGAGAAGATCTGTAAAGAAGAGTGGACCAAAATCCCTCCTGAGATGGTGCAAACCTGGTAACCAGCTACAAGAAAAGTCTTGCCTCTATGCTTGCCAGCAAGGGTTTCTCCACCAAGTACTAAGTCATGGTTTGCTTGGGGATTAAAAACTTATTTTACTCACTGAACTCAATTTATAACATTTGTATTGTGCTTTTGTGGGGGATTTTTTGTTGATATTCTGTCTCTATCCTTCAGAATAAATCAGTTTCTGTAACACAGAATCTTGCTTTATCATTTAAGTGGCTTGGCCTTTCATTTTTATTTTATTTGGTATCACCCAGTTTTAGATGCATTTCACTTCTTTGGACCACTTTTTGACATAGCTGATTTTTTTTTGTTATGTGCATGTCAGAAGTAATGTTTTTAGTCATTCTACCTCACTTCTGTCTCCTGATGTTCATTCTACAATAGAGTGTGTAGATTTCTTAAAAACTGACTGGAACATTTCTTTGGTGAGGACAGAATCAAACCGTGAATATTAACTACTCCATACTTTAATGATCTCATGTGTCACAGGTAGTTTTACTGAAGAGCAAATGAAAATAACTGCCCACCAATTATTCTGTAAAGGTCCGATGTAGACCTTAGCTACATTAAAAGCTTAGCTACATTTAGCAAACTATTATAGAGGGTTGTTTGATACAGTATCACTACAGTCAACAATACTGTTAAACTATTAGAACAGTTACACGGTTGTAATGTTGAATCTTGTCTTTACTTTTGATATCGGTTATTAACTGTACATTTCTTTAACTCTAGTCATTTATTTTGGTTTGTATTACCTCTTGGCACTTGTGTGTCCCTGTCCCTGCTCTATGTTGATGTCATTTTGATTGATTATTGAAAGCTTTTACTGTTTGATTGTCCACCAGTAATGGTAACATGGAATATTTAAACTCCTCTCTTTCATACATATTGTATGAGGTTAACTAAAATGTCCATCTGGTACATGTATGTAACCTCATCAACCTGACTGAAGCATTGATTTGGAGTTTAATGCTAGTTCTACCTTAGGTTGCATACTGTAGCTTTAAATGAAATCCAACATAATTGAAATTTTTGCTGGATTACTGTCACGGCTCTATGTTGCCCATTTTAATGTAAAGTGCGATACTGACATTTTTGAGAGACTTTAAAAATTTTTTTATTATTATTTAGACTCTCCTTGATTTAACTACCATTAATTAATACTTGTTTTACACATAGCTGCATCACTTTACTCATTAGGAGCCAGAAGCTTAACTGTGCCGCATTAACTACAGCTGTTTGTGTCCTGGTATTTCATTCTCTTAAACTCTGTATTATGTTGGTCATTTTTGCACTATTAAAAAATATCATTTAAAAGCAAATGTGCTTAGAACTTGAGCCAATGCACCTTTTTTCTTTTCACCAATATCTATATTTTGAAAGATATTTCACCAACTTTATTTTATACATTTTTAAAGCAAAGTTGCTTTCATGCTGGTACATCTAACTGTTAAGTAACTTGAGCGTCCAGTGGTGACGTTAACAGCAGAGCGAAGAAGGCAGTGTTTCACTCCACAGGGTTGAGTGCCCCTCCCACCTCCATGTGCCAAGAATAGACCAGTACACAGCTCAGACATTGAGGGATCTGTCTAAATCGACTGGATCTGAAGCAAACAGAGAACAAAAAAGAGTTCTGAAACTGAAGCTGGCGATCTTAAATCCATGCTTTGCTGTTTGCCACATTAATGGGCTTGAGACTGTAAGAGCTGCAGCAGGGAAAAGGAGATGAGTTGGTTGTGCATGGGCTAAACTGTTAGTTATCCTCTGTTTTTCTGTTGTGGAGCAGCTGTTTGGAATTCTTCAGGGGATTTGTCTTACTTTATGTGGAGAGTTTACAGTGGTGTTCTGAATGTGTGACTGGAGCAGTGATTGAGTGAGATGTGCATAGCATTTTTAGAGTTTAAACAATATAACATCTTGCCTAGGCAGTATTCAAAAGTTTTGAATGGGTTCAACCTAGATCCCATCTGTCAGCGAAATGAATCCTTTCAGGCAGTATTTTTTGATACTCTTTGAGTGGATAAGCTTATGGTTGAAACATGGTTTTATGAGATTTTGGGGAGCTTTTCCAAGAATCAAAACTTGGATAGCATCCCCAGGTATCTCAGAAGGATCATGTCAAGCAGACTTGGATCAGTGGAAAACCAATGAGGTTCTCCGCACTTACCGCCTTGGAGATGGAGGTGAAACCATGGTTGTGGTCCAAACCAACACACATGCTTTCCACGTAAGTAAAAAATAAAACAGTTCTCCCAACAGGTTTATCAAAAACTTCAAAAAGGCTGTAAAAAATTGTTTAATTATTCATTTTTAAGGTGGACCTCAAAAGACTTTCAGAGTGCAGCGAGTACTTCCGAGCCTTGTCCCAGTCCAGAATGAGAGAGACCTCCGAGAGCCTCATCCACCTGGACCATGTGTCCTCCTCCATCTTCTACAATATTCTGGAGTTCTGCTTCCATAATAAGTTTAACGTTCCCCAGGAGGAGTTGGGCACTCACATCCAGGTATGCAAACATTCAAATCCCATTTATTTATCCTTGTCCCCTCATGTCTGGGATTCAGCTCAAAACCAACTTTGCTTCCTCCCCTTCTGATTCTGGAGGTCAGCAGCTATCTGCTGGCTGAGGCCTTCCTCTCAAAGTGCTTGTCAGTCCTGGCAGATTACCTCAGGCCAGAGAACTGTTTGTTCTTCCTGAGTCTGGCTCAAGAGATCTGTTGTGCAGAGCTGAAGATGACAGTGTTCACCTACCTGAGTAGAAACATGATGGAGCTGTCTCGCCTCATCAGGTATATACAGTATACATCAGTTAAAACATTTTGCTCCATCCATAGATTCTTTACTCTCCTAGGGGAAAATAACTGTCATGGTGGCCAACAAAACATGATGCTATATAATCTGATGCTCAGTCACAAGGTCATGATTTTAACTGATGGAATCATCTTTTGCTTTAGAGCTAACTGAAAGAAACAAATTCTAACAGACCAACATATTACCACACTTCAGATGACTTCATTTCACTTTTTTCAGGAGGTCAGTTTGCTACATTTCTTTCTTGTAAACTGATTAATACCTAAGGTGTCTGAACGATGAGGAGAAGGAGGGACTTGTCCACCTAAGAACACAAGGAGAGCGACGTCTGTGTAGCCTTAGGAAGGAGAGCCTAACTTCGTGGAATGACCCAGAAACAGAACATGCCCGATATATCTTCACCCTGAAAGGGTCAGAGGACAGCGGAGATTGGCATCCAGCTTCTGAGCTTCCTTTCAGGGCTGATAAGTGGTGTTTTACTACAGTGGTCCTGTATAACTACTTATACGTTATAGGAGGCTACCGACAACGTGTGAAGAGAGGCTGGGAGTTCAAGATGGCTTCCTTTAGGTATAATCCCTTCACTCAAGCATGGGTCACCACAGCTCCTCTGCTTAAGGTGAGACAGTCTTCTAGCTTGTTAATCAAGTTCACCTGTCTGTCTTTCCCAAAATAAAATGTCTCTTGCCTTGTATTCCCCTGTTTCACCCACAGCACAGAAGGCACTTCAGTGCAGTTGCCTGTGAAAGCTGTATTTATGCTGTGGGAGGCTGGTACTTGGAGTACCTGGTGGCCCCAGACTCTAGCACAGCTCTTTATACAGCAGTAGAATGCTATGATCCATGGGAGGACACATGGAGGTTAGTAAGCTCTTAAGACTTTAAGCAGGTCACACCTGAAGGCTCCTGTGTCACTTGATATTGTGCATTATTAGTGTATACTCACCTATTTCAGAAAAAAACTCCCTAAATTAATCAAATTACAAAAAACTAAGTGAACCTGGCATTTGGTGCCCTGCAGCTTTTCCTGGTTGGTAATGCAGCCTGTTCAATTGTGAGTGTATTAAAGACTGAATATACAGTAATTTGAATATAATTTAATCCTTAGGTTTGTCTCCCCCCTGCCGCTCAGCGACTTCCAGTTTACCATGTCTTTGTCCCATGACGTGCCCCTCGCTACAAGCCTTGGACACAGTATTTATGTGTTGGGAAGCATCCAGAGAACTGGAGAGAAACTGCTGCTGCAGTACAACACGAGGCAAGGTAAGGCAGAAGAGCACAGTCTGTCTGAAGAATATGGTTTTCTTCTCAGGCCAGAGAACATGCACTTGTGTGTGTGTCATTGTCCTTTCTGTTGCCTTCATCTCAGTCCAGTCACTTTAGAGTTATAGTTTACACACTCATCTGGATGTATGAAAAACTGTGCTCCTGTTTTCCCTCTCTTTGAGATTGCTGGTCTGAGCTGCTTCCTACTCTTGCCAGAAGAGATGCAGACCTCGCCACTCTTTACTTCCTGGGTGCTACTGACAGGCTGCTTGTGATTGGTGGAAACAACTCGGAGAATGTGGTCACATCATTCTGTGTGCAGTCACACAAATGGGGACAGGTGAGAATCTAACAAGAGACTGTGTTCATAGAAAGGTACATCACCACATTCTCACCTTTAGTGTTATGTGCTGGCTTACTTGTGTCTGAAGCACAAAAAAAAAACGGAGCCTAATATTTTTAACTAAAATCAAATTCTGCTTTATCCTCTTTTTCGCCAGGTGCACAGGGCTGAGAAAGTGGGATTTGCAGGGCAAGGAACAGTTGCAGGCAATCAGGTCCTGATGCCAAGTATAGAGCACAACAGTGTTGTGAGGATGGATCTCCAAACTCTCTCTCTCAGCGTTCTTCCTCCTCTACCAGTCTCAACCCACTATGAAGCTATCTTTTACCTTCACTTCTAAAGTTATAGCCAGCTTTGTTGTTCAGTGTTGTAGTTGATTTACCAAACCTCAAGACTGAGTCAACTCCCCATGACCCAAGTCCAGGTCATTATGGTCTACATTAAACACAACTGATACAATTCCCACCATTTTAAATGGAGTCCACTTACTGTTTGTGACAAACAGCCAAATAAATGCACCCATAAACACACACACACACACACAAATTACTTAGATGTGAAGAGCAGGTTTTAATATCAATATTTTATACCAGATTATTATGGCCTATAGCAAAAAAAAGTCAGTCCTCGTCTACAACTTCCGAGTGAGAATACAGTCAGTACTTGAGTCCAAGACATCATTTCTCAAGTCTAAGTCAAATCCAAGTCCTGAAAATCAGGACTTGAGTCAAAGTCCTGGACTCAAGTACTACAACTCTGTCGTTGTTTTACTTTACACACATTGACTTTTTTTGCAGAATGTAAAAATACTTTTTAAATCTTTCTCCAACATAAGGTAAATTATCAGTTTCTAGTGTTTATTAAAATATCAGTGGTTTACTTTAAAGTTTGTTCCCAAGGTTCAGCCACAATTACACTTGCACCTAACGCACAGAGTAACTCTGGAAAAACACAATTGAAAAGTATAAAGAAGCTCAGAAGTTGACTTTATTTTAAATTGTTTTTAACCATGCTTCTGGTTGAAATGGAGTGTGATGTTCTCCTTTACTCTTGATTTATTTTGATTTATTGTTTGTTTACATTAAAAATATTTCTTCCTTTATTCCCTGCATTATTGCTGAATTTGAAGGGCATGATGGTATAACCTAAATATACAATTAAGTCACACAGATAAGGCAACAGATTTTGTCTTCTCTTGATAAACAGCATTAGGTCTCATTGTTAAACATTCAAACATGGAAGTCATGACGCTTGAATCTGCTGATAAATTTACCCCCAGAGAGTATTATGCTCTTATTCTTATTCCATAATTCTATTTTTATTATGATACTGGAGAAGTGCTTGCACTCTCAGTAGCAGAAAAGGAATTGCTCTCAGTAACCCAAGCACTGCAGCAGGTTCAGTTACATAGCAGAGAACTCCTGGCACATGAAGATCAGTCCATGTTTGGTGTCTTGTTACAAAAAGAAGCATATCACGAGTGAGAGAGGGAGCGAGAGAGTAGTGGTTAGGGGAAGGGGGAAAGAGGGAGGGTTGGAAAACACAGGAGACGACAGCTGTGATCTCACTACCTGAGGAAAGCCACTTCAAGGGCACTAGAGTCACACAGAGCACACAAGCCTGAACACAGAGGAATTCCAGTGCCTCATCGTTTTCTTTAGCATGACTGGATCACACAGACTCTGGCTTGAGAAAGGTAAAGTAAGGGCCTCCTTCTTGTCTGTTGCTCTTTTTTGCATCTGTGTTGCATTAGGTTTTTCTGTTTATCTGTAGAGTAAACATACTGTATAATAATGTCATTAGAGTGAAAAGGCTAGACTATTGATCTCAAGTTAATGTTTCGTATTTGTTGTGTTAAGCCAGACATGTAGAAGCTCTAGTGAAAATCATGATGAGAAGGTTCAATGTCACTGTCAGGTGATGAAATCTATTCTAGCTCTTGAAAGGTTTTCTGCAAAGTTGTTCACTAACAATGCTGGCCTTTACCTTAATAGATTCTCACTGTGTTTTGTAATATTAAAGGGTTTAGTTGGGTTGTACTCTGTGTTTATATTTTCATGCCTATCTGAGGTCTGCGCACATGCTCAGCTGGTACACCGCTATATGTGGGCATTGAACTTTGTCCCACTTGGTGACTGTTCAGTCATATGACATGGAAAAAGAAATCCTAGACCTGTCACCCTGGCCGTTACATAAAGCAACTTGTGAACTACTTTTGTTAAGAATGTCACAAGGTCATTGCCTTTTCAAAGACAATGACTGAACCAGTCCAGCTGTGCAGACAAACAATGCGACATTCCTTCAAAGAATGTCCAAGTTGTGAAAGTCTATCTGTTTTTTGCTTATTTTTAGGTTTTTTTGGACGTTAATTAGGGGGAACTTGTATGCTACTCTTATATTAATAATAATAATAATGAATGAAATACCCAGGCATTCCAACAAACATGGCTCAATGATAGAGTTTAGTTTATTCAAAAATTCTTTGCTGCATAATGTCTCTCTGAGATATTGTGAAGAATAAGAATATAAAAGACATTATTAGATGACAAAGAGTTAGTGGATATTAATTTATTATGTGTTCAAGATCTAACGGTTCAGAAATAGTGTTTCCTAATAAAAACTATTATGGTCTGATACTGGTTAAAATGAAATCTCATGCACAAGTCAAACTGATAAATCTGTGTCTCTAGTGTTGTAGTAATACACAAAGATGGCTGAGGCACACCAGGCGGTGGGCTTCCAGTTCACTGTGCACCCAGATGGTGTTGACCTTAAACTCAGTCAAGAGGTCCTCAAAAACATCTACCTGTCAGGACTGACAGCATGGAAGAAGAAAGCCATTCAGTTCAAGGTATTGTAACCAACACTTCAGATGTGGCTCAGTGTTAAACAATGTCACTCAGTAAGATCACAAACATGACCGTGGTGCACAGTACTTATTAAGATCTATCTATATACCTGAACAGAACATGGGGCACAAAGATTCAGTGTGTGTTGATACTGACTCCTCCTGTTTTTTTTATTCACAGAATGGTGTATTGGTTGGAGTCTACCCTGCCAGTCCATCCAGCTGGCTGATAGTTGTAATTGCCATGATGAGTTCCTTGTATACCCATACAGACCCCTCTCTAGGAATGATTGATGCTATTAAGGATCACCTACCACACAGGTGAGAAACACCCTCCCCAGCCTAGTGTAATCATGTTATATACTGTTGTGGTTCAGTTTCTAAGTACAGTATTCTGCTGCATACAGTAGGTTTATTTAAATGAGGTATGCAGTAAGTCAGCTGTTTAAATTCTACATTTATTGTTTTTTGATGTTTACAATGTAAATAAGGGCAGTGTTGTTCTTTTTCTGAGCAGAGACCGTATGCCAGTGCAGACCCAAGCAGTGCTGAGTGCCATCTTGTTTGCCACTGCACTGTGGCTGTTTCTCATCTACTTCTTGAGATACACTCTCAAAGCTCTGCTCTCCTACCATGGCTGGATTTTTGAAACCCATGGAAAAATGAGCACATCTACAAAAGTGTGGCTGGTATGTTTATCCCTCTGTTTTTTATTGTATCATGTGTGCCACTGGCTGCCAGTACACAGTCTATTTACACAGTACAGACGGTATGGCTGATTCTTGTTAGAATCTGTTATGAAGAGTAATCTTGTATACTGTATGTGTTTGGTACCAGAGCCTGGTGAAAATGTTCTCTGGACGCAGACCACTACTGTACAGTTTCCAGGCGTCCTTACCCAGGCTCCCTGTGCCCAGTGTGGAAGATACAATTCGCAGGGTGTGTAATTGCACAGTACTGAACCTTCCATAACCAGAAAGAATAGCAGTTAGTAGTAGAATAGTAGTTTCTCTAAATGATCAAGTATATTTAGATGCATGTTAATATCCTGGTTCCATATTCATGGTGTTTTTACATGGGGAAAAATGGTTATATCATAACAGAAATAACAGGTTATTCTGTTGACATGTGAAACACATGACCAAGATACCCCAAGAATCTCATCATCTCTAAGATATTCGGCGACATGGAAACACACTCTCTGTATCATTTTTACTACAATAGGTGTGTGGTTTTAATCATATAACAAAACTATATAAGTGTAACTTGATATCTAAGCATCATATTGAAGCCTTTGTCATGTTGTGTGTTGAACATTTCAAAACAAATACCAAATATCTAAACTGCCATTTATAACTCTTACACAGTTTAATCAACACAGATGGTTGAACTATACAGGCAATGGTTTGATTGTGTGAGGATTGTGACATCACCAGATTACAGGATTCCAGTAGAAAATTAAAATCTGCCACATCCCATTAACATCTGCTGGATATCTTTTGCTTTTCTGTTTGTGTATCTCAACTGTTCTATTATATCAGCTGTGTTTCCACATAACTCTGCTCTGTTGTTCTGACAATGCACCATGTTCTCCCCCCAGTACCTTGAGTCAGTTCACCCCCTGCTGGACAGTGAACAATACAGTCAAATGGAAATTTTGGCCAATGACTTTAAAGATTCTTTAGCAACAAAGCTGCAGAGATACTTAATTCTAAAATCCTGGTGGGCAACAAATTATGTGAGTAGCGTTTACAAGTTATAAAACTTTGAAGCTCAAATTCACTTGAATCATATGCAGTTTATATTACATATTATACAATAACAACCATTATGTTTTTTTTAGGTAAGTGATTGGTGGGAGCAATACATCTACCTCAGGGGCAGGGGTCCTATCATGGTGAACAGTAACTTCTATGTAATGGTAAGAAACATTGTCATTAGATCAGATTGTTATACCAGTTATAACAAATGCAGCAATATAGAAGATGATGTGTAAAATATGGCAAAGAGTACATACAATAGACATTTTTATGAGCAATGCTAAACAAAAATTCCTTTAATGCTCAAAAGTTCACCTGTTGTACATGTCAGTTATAATATTTGGAATAAGAGTGCCTGTTGTTGATTTATACAGTAGTTGTATTCTTTGTGTGTGTGTCTTTATTTGTTTTGGCTTGTTATACCTTATTTGTGGTGCAGGACCTTTTGTATATGACTCCAACACACCGTCAGGCCGCACGGGCAGGAAATGTTGTCCATGCCATGCTACAGTACAGACGCAAACTGGAACGTGGTGAACATGCACCGGTATTGCTTATCTAAATGACACAATTAATGTTTAACCTACCCAGTTCTCTTTTTCTCCCCTGTATTTTCTCTCTAGCCCAAACATAAACTTTGAATTATTCTTTTCCTTCTAAGTTCCTGAAAACTTTATTTCAAATCTTAATGGTGTCTCTAGTATTCTGATAAGCAACAATTAAAGTTAAACTTTGAAAAAAACATTCTTAGACATTTTTAAGAGTTGAACAGTCAAAACATATTTCATCAGGACTGTATAGTTTGATCTGCTTATAAGCAAACGATTACCAAACTGCCATTAGATTTAGATTTGAATATTGCTAAATCCTGAGTGGTAAATGGGACTATGTGGCATCACCTTTTTCCACCTGAGCCACCTACTTTAAACCACTAAGAAGAACCCAGACAGTTTTTCATGTGATATACATTTTTCCATACCAGATTTGGCAGAAAATAGCAGTTTCGTGTGGGACTTTAAATGTTGTAATTTTTCTCTGCCTCTGGTTTAAACTTCATTTTCTTTTTTCTTCTCAGCTGAGGGCTCTAGGGATAGTTCCTATGTGTTCCTCTCAGATGGAGAGGATGTTTAACACCACCCGCATCCCTGGCATTGAAACAGGTCAGCTACTGTTCAAGTTTGTACAGTTTAATGGAAGAATCTAACTGTGCAGTGCTGGGTTTTACCTTTCCATCATTTGTGTCCACAGCGGTGCCACAGCTCATGCTTTCTGTTCACCATTAAAAGCTACTTTGCCTGCTTTCATATCAATAACTGAGAAATGACTAAAGGCTTCAATCCACAGAGAACAATTTGTTTATGCAGTATGTTGATTTACACTCAAACAAAACTGCACTGCAGGCACACAGGGATCATGTTTTAGAGAAAATATATCCTACCTTTTAACCTTTTGTTGTTTCCTCCCTGACCTTCTTTTCCTGTAGATATTGTGCAGCACCTGACTGACCGTAAGCACCTGGTTGTCTTCCATAAAGGCCGCTTCTTCCAAATGTGGCTGTACACTGGGGGGCGACACCTCTTACCTAGTGAGCTTGAGACACAATTTCAAAAGATCCTCAATGATACATCAGAACCCCAGCCAGGAGAACTCAAATTAGCTGCCCTGACTGCAGGAAACAGGTGTATACAAACACACATATACACAGGACATACTGTATACTGCACATACTCATCTAGGTTTAAATGTCTTACGCTCAATGTCTAGAGTTCCATGGGCTCAAGCTCGGATTAAATATTTCAGCCGGGGAGTAAACAAAGTGTCCCTTGATGCCATTGAGTCAGCTGCCTTCTTCCTGACACTGGATGACGAGCCGCAGGGTTATGACCCAGGAAAGACCAATTCATTTGACAGCTATGCAAAGTCCCTGCTGCACGGAAAATGTTATGACAGGTAGGCAGAGACGTTTCCAGCCATTTTGTATTTAATCTTGGGTACCTCTAGATTAGCTTTGCATCCATCATTACTCAAGATAGTCTGTCATTATTTCAGAATGATAAAACCAGAGAGCCTCTTCCTAAAAGCAAGAGGATAGTTTGTGAACGTGCACAACTCCTACTGCTGGTGTTGTGTCAAAAGTGGACACCACACTGAACTGCGACAGTATTAATTCATTTGAATTTCTCCTCCATCGATAGGTAAACAGCAATATATGTACAGATGAAAAGAGATGTGCAACACTATAAACAAAGTGGGTAATTGACAAACCCCATATTTTAACTGGCATACCGCAGGCATAGTAACTTCAAGTAGCTCCACTGTCGGTAAATCCAACTGGTGGTCGCTGCGTCTTGCCCCACATGACCACATACAGTCCCAAAGTAGTGAAATTAATTCCAACAGGTAGCGTAGCGCTGACACTAACATCATGGATCATTGGAATCGTCTCGTTAACCGGCAACACATCACATGCGGCAGACACACTGGCCTGAAGCTGTCGAAACAAACAGGTACTGTGTATAAAGTGAGTTGCTTCTGCATAGAAATACTAGAACATACTATGTGCATCTCTTTTTTTTTTTCTTTTTTTTTAAGCTTTAGGTCACATCTAAGATGATAATTCACTGTTGTAACATTGTAGATAAATCAGAAAACAAGGAAAAGCATGCCATGGGCTTTATAAGGGAAGGCCTCAGGACAGATTTGACTTATTGACTTATTGGTTTGTTTTCCTAAAACCAAGGGTTTTCAACCAGTGGTCCGTGGGCCCTTGGTGGTGTGCAAAGGCTTTGCAGATGGTCCTTGGTTATGCATTCAATAATATAGTTTCACTGTGGGAATGTATGTATTTATTTATTTAATCACTTATTGTTTGTGAATAATCAAGGTGACTTTTAGGATCAAAATTGTGCACCTCCTGTCTATCCATCCCACAGTTTTCTTTTTTTTTAAGCTTTAGGTCACATCTAAGATGATAATTCACTGTTGTAACATTGTAGATAAATCAGAAAACAAGGAAAAGCATGCCATGGGCTTTATAAGGGAAGGCCTCAGGACAGATTTGACTTATTGACTTATTGGTTTGTTTTCCTAAAACCAAGGGTTTTCAACCAGTGGTCCGTGGGCCCTTGGTGGTGTGCAAAGGCTTTGCAGATGGTCCTTGGTTATGCATTCAATAATATAGTTTCACTGTGGGAATGTATGTATTTATTTATTTAATCACTTATTGTTTGTGAATAATCAAGGTGACTTTTAGGATCAAAATTGTGCACCTCCTGTTTGTCCATCCCACAGCAGTGGTCCTCAGGTTACATCTTAGTCAGAATGGTGGTCCCTGGGTCACAATTAGTTGAAAACCCCTGCTAAAACCATACTTTTTTTGTTTGTCACAGGTGGTTTGACAAGTCTTTCACCATGGTCTCTTATCCAAATGGAAAAATGGGATTAAATGTTGAACATTCTTGGGCTGATGCACCAATTATAGGACATATGTGGGAGGTATAAACATAATGTAATGTATAACATTATATGTTAAAGCAATAATTGAAAGTTTGCACTGATATTCAGCTGTCCTTTTCTGTCTGTGTAGTATGTCCTTGCTACAGATTGCTTCCATCTTGGCTACACAGAGGAGGGGCACTGTAAAGGAGATGTGAACAAGGGGCTGCCTCATCCTACTCGACTTCAGTGGCAGTTTCCAAAGGAGGTACAGTAGAACCTTACAGTGCTTATTTTTATTCACCTGATTGGTTTAATCATGATGGTAAAATTCAGTAGGGTGTAGGTAACAAACTGAATATCCGTTTTCCCCTCTTTAGTGTCAAGATGTCATCGAGACTTCCTATCTATCGGCAAAGCAGATAGCTGATGACGTGGACTTCCATGGCTGTCTGTTTAAGGACTTTGGGAAAGGCCTGATCAAGAAATGCAGAACCAGTCCTGATGCCTTTATTCAGCTCGCCCTGCAGCTGGCACAGTTCAGGGTAGGTCTGTCATCGCCCCCTGCCCTGTGTCTAGAATCACATTACTAACATTATTGCTCACTATTTATATTAAATGTTTAATTGCATCTTCTGCCATCCTTAAATCACAATAATCTATCTACTTTATAGGACCAAGGGGTTTTCTGTCTGACATACGAGTCATCAATGACTCGTATGTTCAAAGACGGTCGGACTGAGACTGTACGCTCCTGCACTTCTGAGGCTGTTGCATTTGTCAGAGCCATGGAGGACACTGGTGCAACAGTAAGCAGAACGAAAACACACATTAAAACTTAGAATAAATCAGGATAACTTAGATACTATCAGACTCACAAATTCACAATCAGTGACATTGTCATCAAGACCTAAACCTAATATGCATCTGTGTGTCAGTGCCCTGGACTTTGAGCTCCCAGGTGTTCTGGCAGGGTTAATCTAACACCAACATTACCAGAGTTAAAGGTCAGTTTGATATGATGATCAATGTTTTTGTGATCAGAATGTCCAGAGACTTGCCCTGTTTCGGAAGGCAGCAGATAAGCATCAAAACATGTATCGTCTGGCCATGACTGGCTCTGGTATCGACCGTCACCTCTTCTGTCTCTACATAGTGTCCAAATACCTCGGCCTTGACTCACTGTTTCTTAAGAAGGTGAGAACTATAATAACTTTTATTTATTTCTTATTCACTGTTTTTCTCTTAAACTATGTATTACAGCCTTTCTCCTTTCTCCTAGGTTAGAGACAATTCATATTAATTACATTTCTGTCAAAATGCCAGAGTTAACTGAGGAGGCTTATTTCTTATCTCTCTAATATCTGATTATTTTAATCAGTTTTTTTATACAACATTCAATGTCTTCGCTTCTAGGTGCTCTCGGAGCCCTGGAAGTTGTCCACTAGCCAGACTCCACAACAGCAGCTCAATTTAGTTGACATCAACATGTTCCCTGAATATGTCAGCGCAGGTGGTGGATTTGGCCCAGTAAGTTAAATGGTTTTAGAAATGTGCACAGGTTACACAATCATATTTTTTCACTCTGTCATCCTGATCTGGGAGGGCCATGTACAGTTATATAAAGGCATTACTTGTCCACCCCCAGGTGGCTGATGATGGTTATGGTGTGTCTTATATCATTATTGGGGAAAATCTCATCACATTCCACATCTCCAGCAAGTTCTACAGCCCCGACACAGTAAGAGCACAAAGTGTACTGCATGTTACAGATCTTTTCTGTATACCATTTAGGCTATCTTTCAAAATGTATTTCTTTCTCTCTCTGTATTCACCTGTCTGCATGACCTGCAGGACTCGTACCGGTTTGGCCAGCACATTCGGAAGGCCATGCTTGATATCCAAGCACTTTTCAAGCCTGAAAATGATAAGATAGTGGATCATGGAAAGAATATGCACCTGGTAAATGGGAAAAAGCACATATGACAGACACTATGGGATGATATGCTGGGTTTGTCTCGCATACAACTTTTAACCCAGCCTTCAACATCTTTTTCTGTAGTGACAAGTTGCACTTGTATTATTTTTGGTTTCTGGTGGGTCACATTATATGAGGTACTCATTCCACTCAGTCAGACAAAAGGAATAGCTGTTTCTCCTTTATTTTATTTATATTGTAATTTACAGAGTTGCTTTGTTTGGTGTTAAGGGAAAAGTATATTTCTGCAGTAGTTTTTCCATTCTCCTTGAAATCTTTTGTGAATTTATGCCAGGCTGTATATTAATCTAATGTAATACACCTAATTATGATCTGTTTTGTCCACATGAAACATATGAACATATCTATCTACAGAATTCAGTGCTGTTTTCAAATCTAAATCCTTATAACTTATGAATTTGCTGTTCATTTAAAGTGTTTCATTTTTGCTTATGCACCCATTATATATAATTACATCACTGGCTTCTGTGCAATGAATAAACACTGAATATACAGATAATTAGAAATTAATTCCTTATACTGGTGGCTTTATCTATTTTTACACAATTTAAACAATTGTATAAACAATTTTAATACCTCACAAACAAACACAATCTATTACAAGAGAGGTTTATTGTAAGCGGTGGGGTGGAGGGTCTATCTTGTTCCTAATATTTGTATGGACATTTACAAAGGCCTTTCAGATTCATCCCAGCTACTAGAACAAAAATGATCTGGGCTGATCAACAGGAAGCTTGATTACATTAAGTCACACTGCTCTCAGAACATCTTCTAACAGTGAGAGAGCAAACTAAAAGCTGAACAAAGGCAAAAGGAAACAAACTCACTGATTAAAGCACTTTTTGACAAACAGCCCAAACTTTTTTTTTGACAGTTGCACAATTCCAAAATCACACTTACACTGCTGTACTCCATATGACCCTAAATGTGACAAACGTATATGGTGGAGGGCTCATCTCGTAAGGGCTGACTTTTTAAACCACGATTCATCAGTAGACTTTAGAAGAATACACATGGAGCACCATCAGTTCCTTAAAGGTAAAAACAATCTGCAGTTATGACGTAGTCACATGAGCGCTGCTCCAGAATAGTGAGGACAAACCATCTATTTGAATATTTATTAGTTTAGGTGGGGACAATACAAAAAGGTCAAAGTAATAAAAAAACACAAACCATTCTGGTCACACAGTTTCTTTCAAAGCATCAGTTTCAACAATGAACTAAAACTAGGCTTTATAACTGTACAAAGTGAATGGACAAACGGGCACACCGTGTCACTGTCCGCTTACTTGATGAGAACAGTTTTAAAAGAGGCAACAGATGCCAGACTTCCTAAGATTCAAAATGAATCAGCAGTATCTGGTTATTATTATCATCATCATTCTAAGCTGTCTGCCAGTCAAGCATGTTTAATATAACAGAATACAACAGACACAAATGGCAAATGGATTCAATGTATGCTCTATTTCTTATGGGTTATCATGGGAAATACTGCAGGCTCAGTCCACTGGGTGATGACATGCTCTCTGGGCCACTGTGTGGGGCTGTTTTTCATGTAGGTACACGCCAACCCAGTCTTTTCTGTGTACTGTGAGCTATTCGGTGTATACATTTCAACACTCTAGGATGATTTTGTAGTTTATGTCTAAAATCACTCAGCAGAGCTTCTGGGTTCCGGTTTATAATTCAGCAAGGATGATTAAGAAGTTGCACCGGGAGTCGGGTTGACATTCTGTGTGGCAGCTTGCGGTGCCACTTCTATGATCCGTGGTTTGTCAATGATACGAGCAGTGCGGTTTCCTTTCTCTACAATTCCGATGATCCACGCTTGGTGGCCCTCTCCATATTTTGGAGATTTGATTTCAGCACAGAAGCGGGCAGCCTGCTCCCGGGGAAGACAGATGAGCAGGCCTCCTATAAATCGAAGCAGATTCAGCCAGTTAAAAGGGCTTAAATTATTTTAATGTGTAGTGATGTAAGAGAACTGAGAACGCATCAAATGTTGTCCTTTCATAGTGATGCTGATCACAATGATTTTTCTTTATTCTCTGGGCATGTTTGCCTTTAATAGTACTACTAGAAATACAGACAGGAACTAGGAATGAAAAAAACAAAAATAAATACACACACACACACACACACACACCTGATGTTTCAGGGCAGGTGCCATGCATGAGACCAAACATGTTCCCACAGGCCTTGGACACAGCAGCCATCTTGGCGAGCACTGGGAGATTGTGGATGACAAATGACACCTCACTTCGCTGTTGTCGTGCCAATGTCTGAGCATGGCCGAGGATGCCGAACCCTGTGATGTCGGTGGCTGCGTGGGCATTGAAGGTGTGCATGAGGCCAGCCGCTACAAGAAGAAATGAGAGAAGAGACTTAAAAGGGTATTTGGATGATTAAATTGTTTATTAAGGAGGCACACAACTGTTTATATGGTTATAAATTAGTCTGTGGCATGAACAAATACAGATGATTGTGTTAACATTCAAAGACTAACACATTGTGGGCAATAAAGAAAACAAAAGCAAGTGTGCACCCAGTGAACAAACACTGGCGAACCTGAAGAAATATTTCTGTGCATCCATGTGGCAGGATCTGTTTTGTTTTTTTTCTATCTGAGATGACAGCTGGGTGTGTTGTAAGCATGAGGCTGCTATCATCTTTTAATATTTTATAGTAATCCCTGCTGTTCCTTTGCTTTGAATTTGACAAAATACTTGACCACAGACAGTGACACTGACTAGTTGCTACACTTTCCAGCTGATGTGACTGTGCGGGAATTGAAAAATAATGGCAATACCCAAAACTTTAATAAGAAAGTACATATTACTGCAAATTCCTTATTGACCATAGTGGTTTTACCTGTCCTGTTGAGCCGAGCCATGTTCATCATGGCTTCATGGTAGGCCAGCTCTACATCTTCCTGGGTTACCACCAGTTTGATCTTGTTCCACTTCTCAGGCTGAGAGATTGAAAAAAAGCAAACAAACATATACAGCTAATGGAATTAGTGGTCTTCCCCCCCCCAAAAAAGGTGTCCAGACAAAATCCTTCATGAGCAGGCAGATTGCCAGCACAGCAGAAATCTCTCACACAACTTCACTCACTGCCGAGGTGCACAAACAATGGAAAAACAAACTAGAAAAAGTCCGGCAACACTTGCAGTGTTTTGAGCAACTTTAATGTAAAGACCAAAGACCAGTGCATCTCAGCATGTAACCTTCGTCAGAGTTGAGATGCACTGGTCTTTGGTCTTTACATTAAAGTTGCTCAAAACACTGCAAGTGTTGCCAGACTTTTTGTTTCTGGGCAGGCAGACTTACAATATCTAGCCACTGATGTACTGCTACAGCCACTTGTGTTCCAAGTGGCTTGGTCAACACCAACACGTCCCCTGGCACAGCATTGTCTGGCCTAACAGATATCAAACACGACATTTTCAGGATTATTTACAATAAAATTATTCATTTTTCTGAAGCAGGTAAGAGTAACACAAACAACAAGAGCAGGCCATGTAGTAGGAACTCATTCCTACATGATAAATTCGTTGGGCTGGCAGACTGTTGTAGCAACTCCTCCCATCACTACCCAAGGGTTGAGCACCGTCTGTCCTCCTGTTACAGATGTGCCTGCTTCCTCTGATGCATCCTTGAATCCCTGGATGATCAGTGGCATGACTTTGTCTCTCTCCTGTAAAGATGCAGGAATGTCACAGCAGAGTCAGAGAGCACAATGGAACATAATGGTATTTGGTTTGTTTTGCTTGTTTGCAAATATATGCTACATTAACTGATGTGTCTCATACCTTCTCTGACATTTTGTTGCTGACTCCCAGGAGCATCAACATGTTGTCGCACTCCGTCACTCCCATGGCGTACAGGTCACTGAGAACATTAGCACAAGCAATTCTCCCCTGCAAAATAGAAATACTGAAAATTAAGCACAAGAAGGGGTTGGTGTGTCAAGTAGGCCTACATCACACCGAATATTGCACATCAGCAAAGAATGTGTGGTATTTTTCCACATCTATGTATAATCAATAGAAACACATTGGTGCATGCAGTAATGCCCGTTAAAGAGAAGATGCATACCATCATGTAGGGGTCATCCACAATGGGGTAGATGTAATCTGTAGTCTGAACTAGAGAAAGGCCTCCATGTCTAAGAGGGATCACGCATGTGTCCATGCCTATTCCTTCAAAAACAAAAGATATTTTGTAGAGGTTTGTGTTCTGCTGGCAAAAGAGTGATATATGACTGGAAACACTAAACTATGACAAAGTCAAGCGGCTTCAGGTTGTACAGAGAGTGGCTGCTGGGCTTTAATGTGGAACAAGGTGATGGCATAATAGTACGCTTATTTAGTGCTATCTAAACTGATGACCTGGAGAGGATCATGTTTTAGTCAATACGTTTAAACTGATGAAATATTATGTATCCTGATGTACTCCCTGTACTTCCTGTTCCTATTCATGCAAAACCATAATCCAAATCATACCATATTTCACTCATCTTCAATCAAGAAGCTGAGTGAAATGGCAACTTGTGAGCTTTTCATGAGCTGCTGTTATTTAAGCGTTACCAAATAACTAGCTCATACAGTGTTAAATGAAGATCTTAATTAACCTAATCGAGGCATAACTGCCCCCAGGAACTGTTCATCCTCTTGGCAGTGGTTCTCTTGTAGGGTCTCTAGCAGCTTCTGTAACACATCTTGGGGCACCTGTGACCAGACACAACCACAATTTTTATACATTGTTGTAAGTCATACATTAACTTGTAAGACAACAATGCATCCGGTGCATATTTTGAGTCAGAAAACCAACCTTGCAGCCTGTGCCCTTGAGCTCAGCAAAGCGTGTGAGTCTAAAGTTCTTGTCCAGCTCATAGCTTTCAGGGTTAAAAGACTCCCTCACGGCCATGTCTGAAGAAACTCTGGGCCCTCACCACTAGAACCACACCAATGATGGGGACAGGACAACAAAATTAGTAATTAGAAAAACATTGTCTGCTCATTTGAGCATCATTTTAAGCAAAGCATGACAAGAACAAATGACCTTGGTCACATGTATACTCTGAAGCAACAGCACTGCAATGAACCCTGGCTATTTGCAGCTTATATTTTCAAGACTGTCAGAGCTGTTGATTTAAATGTGCAGTCATCCTTAGGGTTGTAGCATTTTCATGATCAATTAATCCACCAGTTTAAGCAATGAATTGCTAAGTGTAAAATCTCAGAAAATAATAAAAGCCCTTGGCAACAACTTTGATTTCCTTGATCAAACCAAATAGTCAAATCAACAGTCCAAAATCTACAGATATCCCAGTCACAATTATATAAAACTGAGAAAAGCAGTTAATCCTCAACACTGCAAAGCTGATTTAAACAAATGACTGGCAGTTTAAATTTCTGTTTATGCTCTTATCACAATTTATCTCAATGACAGAGAAAATTGCAATGCTCAATCAATACTCTGTTATAGTAAGTAAGTAATGTTTTGTAGGAAAAGTGGAAGGTACACCTCACAAAGCAACACAACACCTAAATTAAATACTAACATGACCAGAATTTAATCAACATCAATCTGACAAATTATGAACAATTCAGAAGTATTCTTTGCGGGTCTATTGTAATGCATTGCATTAGATTTTCTAAATGTACTGTAAGCTCTATGCAAAATTACTTTAGTTTTGCGTATTTTCATGTTCAAGCATAAGATATGGCCGTTTAGTGATAAAAATGTTTGTAAATCTGAAGTTTCTACTGTGCTCTCTCGGTGCCACACACAATCACAATGAGCTGATCACATATTTGAAGTTTCAAAACATCTAATATACACATGGGAAACACTTGTCTAGTCGAGAGAGAAGCCGGTCAACTTATTGCACTTTTATTAACCCCGATTTGTTGTTTAAACTGTGAGTTACTGGGGCGGCCTCTATGAATACACTGTGGGAGTGTTCAGGAGACAAAACGCGGCTCTGTTTAATGCAGTTCATTCAACCCTCAGGCACATGCTAACAATATTACTGCTAATCAGAGGTAAACTAAAGATACCCGGTGTAATGTAGCCACAATACATTAGAAATTACTGGGCATTCAGCTTTGACACATTGATACAGACGGCTACATATTCGAGGTTTGTTTATTTTGCTGAAAATGCAGTCTTCATTTTGGTGCTAGCTCTTGTTAGCAAACGCTGATCCATGCATGAGATGAACATAAAACAGCCCTGTGCAACAACGAGCTACGTGTCCGAATGTGTGAGCTGTAATTCATTTAAAACACACTGTGCAGGCTACAGCTTAACTGCGACACAGAGTTGTGAAACATAGTGGCAGCTCGCTGCACATGTAAGTTAAAAAGTTGCCGTAGAGTGCCGAACAAAAATGTCGGCGTCGAAAAATTTAACCCTTTCCTGTCCCTCGCCATGCGATGTGTGCTACATCAGAGTTGGTATCAATAAAACAATGCTAAACATGCTACTTGTGCAAAGTCTGTGATGATGTGGTGCAATATAGGTGTTTGCAATTTCCCTAGATACAATTTTAGGACCAAAGCGGACTTATATTCTTGCAACATTTCCCCTTTAATTGCTCTGACCAGTTTATCCTTACCAGCTTCACGTTAGCGGTGGATCCCAACAGAAGAGCGGGGAAGGTACCACAATGCATAGAGGCCCAAATCGGGCATCTTCGGAGAAAGCCTGACCAAAAATGCGATCTATTTGTGTTCTAATTCCGAAGTAGACTGTAAAGAAACCAAGCCGTCGCGTATAAAAAAAATATTTCAACGTATTCATGTATTCAACGAGGCTTCCTCTTTAAACAAAGATATTTGGCTGGCAATACAAAGAGGAAATAAAAGAGATCTCAAAGGGTCCTCTGCCTGCACAATGGCGGCTTCAACATCCCCTTTAATGAGCAGTGAAGTCTGGCAAATTTTTTTCTACAATGGAATATACCTTTAATTTACCCCTTTCCCTCCAAATGAACTAATACCATAACACAGCCTGACTAGATGTTTAGACACTTTGTAAAAGCAGGGATTCGTAAATTTATAAATTTATCTTTTGATTATAATTATGCTACTATTGCAGCAAATAATAGTGAAATACCCAGTGAACTTAGAACACCATAACATTACCTGACTGGATGTTTAGGTACTCTCTAAAGGCAGGGATTCATAGATTTCTGAACGTATCTTTTGATTGTTACTAATGCAGCAAATATGTTGTTACATCGTTGTGTTACATTATTTTCTATTACTGAGGTCTTTTTAATTAGACATTACTTCCCTCAATTTGTGTCATTTCTTTAGTTGTTAACTATACTGTCTAGCATATAAAAACAATGCAAAAACACAGCTGTGAATAAACCATATTTAATGGTGGAAACCACTGTTTCATATGCACAATGAGCAGATAATAAAAAAGATGTAGCTTAATTCTATCACAATACAAACAACAGTGAACAGTAGCAGTGATATGCATAGACTAAAGATTTTAATAAAAAGAAACATTGGACTATTCATAGAATAGGCCTACTGTATATTTTTGTTTAATATTTTCAAGATGTAGCTGTATACCTATTTTTATTTAGCAAAATTAGCCAAAAATACATAAGATATTTATGTTTGGCTGTAATGTTGACAACTGAGGCAAATGCTGTACTGCACATTACACCCAGTGAAATACCGGTGACTAAAAAGGCACAGTTCACGATGGATAACTTACTGTAAAATGTTATTTGTGTAAAATATATGAATGATATACTGTTACAGTACGTTGTCTCATGTTAGACCATGACTCCTCCTAGTAGCCCAATGACATGAGAACCAAGCAAGTGCGCTTTTAAAGCTGTAGCCTATAATGTAAACAGTGAATAACAGCGGGTGGAGGGGGGTTGGTCCTGGTCCTGTCCATTTGGTCCTGTTTTTTTTTTCCCTTTACATTCATAACAGTTAATAGCTGCAAAGGAAATACCTAAAGTGTCAAAATGCATCAAGTTAGAGAAGTAATGAAGATGATCAGCAGTTCTACTGTAAGGCCATGGTGGTAGCCCTTAAATCAGCCAGTCATCTTTACCAGTGTTCCTTCCACACTTGCAAGCTTGTTATAGTCACAGCCTATATATAGAGAAAGAAGGACATATTATTAAAGGCAACTGTGTTCACACAATTGATGTACAATTGTAGTTCTCTAAAAAAACAGCAGAAAGAGAAATGCTTTTGTGACAGCGAGGTGAAATAGAGAGGTGATATGGTAATGATATGAAGATAATTAGCTGACATTTTGGGAAGCTGTGTGAGTATGTCAAATATCATGTGACAAAGACATGAGCCAGTGAGCAAACATCAGTTTGTGTGTGTGCTGTGACAGCAAAGTGTGGAGAGAGGTAAAGGCACTGTGCTGAGTAGAGGGGCTAGTGGAAAGATGTAAGATGGAACACTGATGTGAGGGGAAAGGTGCAAACACAGAAAGATAAAAGTAGACAACTGAATAAATGGGTGGTATGTGTCTGAGCTGCTCCTACTGTATGTGTGTTTCATACTTGTGGATGGTCCTATTAAGGCTTCTGCTTCTGCGGCATCTAAGGAACAAGATGGAAATAACAAGATTTACCTGACACATTTACAGACAACTTCTTCATTGACTAGTAAGCTTTGTAAGGGACTTAAATGTGTCAACAGAATAAAAAAATATATAAAGCATTAATTACTTCCTTAAAAGAAAAAAGCTTAGCAGTACAGAACCTCTTTTCAGCCTCCTCCGAGCAAGCTTGATTTGATCTTGAAGGATTTGCACCCAATCTCTTGGCCCAGGCAACTTTTCTATTCTGTGTTCAGTGCAGTATTTCTCTGTAAACACTGGATACAGTTCACACAACCATATTAATGTTTCCTCAAAAACACTGTCATTATTGTTGTACTCTGCTACAAAGTGACTGATAAAATCCTTCGTATATTTTTTTCACCTACCTTTAATGGCACCCACAATGTTCTGGTCCAAGCCCTTACGATTATCATTAAGCCCTCTCTTCCTTTTACCATTTGGCAGTGAGTTAGCCAGGGTGGCATCGTCAAAAAAGGCACACACCTAAACATATACAGTAGCGGCATGTTAAAACAATGTTGTTGGTGAGCTTAGAAACCATTGTTTAAAATAAAATGCCAATATCGAATGATGCATTGTAATTAAAGAGTATGATTAAAAAGGACAAATAAATAATTGTAGATACACACCAGTTTCCGGAAAAGCAGACTGCCAGAGCGTGTGTAGTTGACCAGAATGGAGTCTAGCTGGGCCTTTGATATAAACACATCATAATCCTCTGCAAGACGCACCTCTGACTGAAAAGGTATCAAATAACACAGTGTGTGAAGTATTATGTGAAATGATAAATTAAGACCTGAAAAGATTAATTACATTTTCAGATGAAAAAAAAGAGAAACTGTTTTGCATAAATCATTGTAATTGGTTTTAGCCCTACTGCACCATGTTGCCATATACACCACTGTAAAATAAAGTATGATGATTAGAGTGAGTGATCCAAAGAGGTTAAGGGACACAAAGGTTCTCCTGAGCAAAACAGCATGCCACTTGGCAGAGGTTCCTGATATATAATGATGTTAATGTAAGCTATTTTAATTTACCTAAAAGGAGCCAAACATGAGGACCTTTTATTTTTTACAATAGAAATAATGACTTTTCATATTTCTGTGCCTTCATACATTTTAAAAGTGTGTATTTAAGATGCATGTTAAAATAGAAAACATATCACAATGAATATAATAAATACACATATTAATAAAAATATCACATTTGTCAATGTTGTTTCTTTGAGAGCATAGTACAGACACAGAAAATACACACAGGTATATTTACATTCATGTACACTAATATACAGATTACCTCTAATGACCGAGGTTCCTTTAATCGTTTCAGGTGAGGACTGTGTGTGTTGTTGATGGTTACTGGATTGTTCTGTCGTGGCAGCGTAGAAACATCTGAGGAAATGGAATGACTGGGTGTGGATGAATCTTGCTCTTTCTCCAGTTCTTCTCTCTTTCCAGATTCTGCAGGTACAGCTGTAAGTGATGATGCCTCTGGAGGTACAAGAGCGGCTCTTCTAGTGCCCGACCCAGTCAGTGGTACAACTTTATAGAATGGCCTCTTCTTGCGGGGCCTATGACGGGCATCAGGGCCTGGACCGAGACGAGGTTGGCATGGTGATACCACCTGTTCCTGTCTTCCCAGTGATGCTAGAAAAAGACATTAACACATTATATTTTCTCTCTTTCTCTCTGCCTCTCTCATAATGTGTGTGTAGTTCATTCACTGACCTTTTTGAGTTTGCATCAGCCTCCTCATGGCACGCAGTTCTTGCAAGATAGCCTGCAAGGTGCCCTTACAGTTACACATACAGCAGGGGGGTTCTGGTGCAGCAGCAGGGAGCACATCTGCTGTAAAGTCAGTGGTACATCGGTTAGTGATTGTTCTCTCGTGTATATTTGTATATGCACAGTGTGCTATTTCATGTCATATCTGTGATAACAATGTGTGTCCAGAACTAACTGTCTCATCTCTGTTTTATGAAAATCATTTTTCTTTCGGAAACAAAAGTTGCATGGAGTAGTTTTGTCCACTCCAGACATGTTCTGGTACCCTACCATTAGCATCTTTCACTTTGATTACACCCCTTGTGTTGTTGAGGATCCTTAGCACTTTTGAGCGGGTGCTGTACTGGCCACAGCCTGGACCATTGGTGATGGGCATGGATGTGGATAAAGGTGAAGGCCCTGGGTCTCCTGCAGAATTCCAGCTGTTGCTCTGGTGGTCTTCTGATACAAGAGACAAAGGTACAGGCTGGTGTACCCAGGTGAGATGCCTGTCCTGGGGCACCCTTGTTAAGGTGTCCTGCTCAGTTCCCACTCGCTGGTATACCCTGCTGGTCTTATCACTCAGAAGCCTCATCATTCCTGTGATTTGTCTCTTGATCTCCATGCCCTCGTCCCCCAGCCAAACTACTTGGGAAGAGAAGGGTGCTGATGTAATTATTGAGATCTGCTGTGACATATCAGAAATAAATCCATACAACGGTGCATACCATCCGGCACAGCAGCATCCTTAGGTTCTCCATTAGCGTCTTTGCTGCTGGAATTCATCATATGTGAAGGGTCAAAAGCTAAAAAAAATGCAAGATTTTGTTATGAAATAGCATATAACAATACAAATTCTGTAAAAATCTGTTTCACAGATTACTGTCAGAGTGGTGTTTCAGCCTTTTACATTTCAGTATACAGGCTGATAGACAACTGTGATGTCAACCAAAGCAGAATCCCCCCTCCCATCCCATGTAGAAACCACCACCTGTAGGTGGTATAAAGTAGTGTGAGCAAGACAGGTGGCCTGCAGGGCTTATAGCTCCAGCAAAAAGTAAATATTTAACCTGTGTGTCATACATTCAGAGTGTGCAACATATTTCCATATAATGAACTGTTCGTTTACTTAATTCATTTTTCATTAAAGGGATCTATGAAAAGACTGATATATAGGAAGGTATTTTACATGTAGGCCTTGGACATTATAAAGTTAGCTGCTGGTTAAATCCGAGGTACAGACTGTGGGCATTGTCGTGGTCATCGCTTTTGTTTACAGAGTCGTCTCTGCTGGCACACAGCGCCAGACAAACACCCAGACACAGACGCGCGTCTTACACGCTCTTGTATTCATTCAGCAGCCTACCTTCATCCGTGACCAGTTTAAAGCTCTGTGACTTCCTTCTCCTTTTCCTTTCCCCAAACTCCATCTTCACGAGGAATATTCAGTGATTCGTGCAGCCGAAAATCGCTCTTCAGAAAGATGAAATCAGTGAATGGAATACATTCAGCGGATTCACTGTCCGCCTGTCTCATTAATCAGTTAAATTTCTCCTCAGGCTGCGCTACAGATCCTGTCATCGGAAGATTTTCACAGTGTTATGGTTAAATGGCCCTAATAAATGCTATTGTATGATCTATTCCAGTATCCAGCGTGTGCTGATTCTTCCCTTTCGCCTAAATAAATTAATGACTTTAATATTAAAATTCGTCACATATCCCTTTGCGCCACCTGATGGTATGTTCTCATCTAAAAGGTCGAGTCAGACGTTTGCTACAGTAGGCTACAGACAATAGATTGACATTTGAACAAAAGCACTAACGAGGCCAGACTGCAAAACAAACTTAGTTTTTTTTTTAAGATTCTTGCATTATAATCATATAACCTGCTGTTTTAGCTTTCTTTTTTGCTGAATGACTAAAATAATTCAGTGATCGCACCTTTAAACGTTTAAGTTGTGTTCATACTACATTTATTAAAAGGAAATATATTATTTCATGGCAAGCAGAACTCACATTGTATAAACCCGATTTTTAGGCACCCAGTGGATATGTATAGTGGGCTAGTGTAGGCCTAGGCTACATCAATGGATGAATCCCCCCTGTCCAGTCATGGTCCTGCTGGGTTAAATCCTGAGTCACTGGCAGAAAGTAGCATGAAGTCAGTGATGTCAAGTGCTAGCCAGTTAATTTGGTGTCATGTTTTGCTTAAAAATGTCCAGAATTCAATAGGTTTATGATAATATTTATATAGTGCATTGGCAGTACTGTATATAAATATGCATATCTCAGCAACCCTTTCATTATAATAGGAATATGTTGTCTTATAAAGTTGAGCTATTCAAAAATAAAATATATACTAGAATGTTTAAATAAAGTAGAGAAAAGTGAACACCAACCAAGCGATATTTCAGTTGGTTTATTATGCTCAAAGGAGAGTTTATTTTATTCATCTGACCTTTATTTTACCAGGAAAATAAGCCCCACTGAATTGTACATCCTCTTCTAAAATCTTTAACAAAAACTTGAATAAACCTCAACAGTAAAGATAATTAGCTAAAAGCAAAAGCAAAAAAAAAAATGAATAATACACTTGAGTTTACAATAGTCTTGAATTTTGCTTGGTCGTGAAATTATAAGCTTTGGTTTCGATAGCCTATAAAAGAACACAGTTAACACGTTACCTTTTATTTTAGTTTTATTTTGAAACACAGTCAACGAAGCATAATAAATCACTGAGGACTTTTATACCGAAATCTTGTTGTTGGGTGATTTAGAACAACTTCCGGGTTTAGCTTGTAAGCGGAAATGTTAATACGACAGTTTCATGTGAGTGGTTATTTGTTGAAATAAACGGATAACGAACAGTACTAGTGTTCTGAAATGGATATACTTAAAGCTGAGCTCGCAAGAAAGAGGAAACTTATCGAAGAAAAACAGCTCATTGACGTGAGTAGCTGACGAAATTGCTTGTTTTTATTAGCTCGATAGCCCTGCTGCTAGACTTAGCTATCTTACCATACATCAGAATATGAGGTGAGCAAAAAATAGCTAGCAAGTGTTAGTACCAACTAATTAGATTGTAATCATAAAGGCTAATGACATTCACCTTAATATTCTGCTTAATCTCATGCTAAAATTATTAGAGCTGTTTATTTATTGCTAACAATAAGTTAGCTGCACTTCCCCTCCACTGCAGGAACACTAGAATAACATAGCATATCATGGTACAATACTTGGACTATACTAATAGTTTTCTCTGTACTTTATAACACCTCTAAACCATGTCCACATTCAGTAAAAGTTGACCTTTAGAAGGGTGAGATAGTAATTAGCTGAAAAGAATTAGCTATATTATATAAAATGGCCAGACTCTTACGTGCACTAAGTTTAGGTCAACATGGAAGAAATAAATATTGATTTGTTGGGTAACTAGTCGTTTTGTATGATAGGTGTATCTGCAACATCATAATACAGAAGTAATTGCTATGTAATGCCATTGCCACCAGTATGATCTTGACATTGTGCTATACATAGTTTGATTACAAGTATAAATGTAAAAATCTGTCTGCTTTCAGGACTCCAAAAGATTCTTCAAAAGGGCTGATCTGAGACAAAAGGAGCAAGAAGATTACTTCAGAAGATCTGGATATAAGGTTGTCAGGATCATGCTCCTTTTCTCTCTTTCTCTCTTTCACACATGCACAACACACACACATACACACACTCATCTAAACCACTCTCTTACTTCAGTTTGAGTTTAATGCAATACTCTGATACTGTAGTTAAAGCTGGTCTACCTATTTTATTTTTAAATTCAGCCTAGAAGAGACTTAAGACTTAACACAACACCATAAACTGGCGTGTTCTGTTTCTTAGTGATAATGTTAACTATGGATGCTTGGTTGAATAAAACTGTACAAAATGCAGCTTTCTGTCCAGAGCTAGCATTAGCTAACTAATATAGATGGAATGATGTGACTTTTTCTCAATGCGATTGGATGCATGATATTATGTGTACGATTCGATTAAGTCACAATACAAGTAAAAATTCAATGACAACAATGTATGGCTAGCTGTGGAATATGTGTACCTTATTTCTCTTTTTTCCCCTTTTCTAGCACTGGTATTTATCACTAGACAAAAATATACATATTATGATCTTTTTGTATCACTATAAATTGAATTTTGATATATTGTCCCATCCCTCCTAACTAATGAGTACATTTGACAGCTTAATAGAACATTCTTCTAATGTGACACAAAGCACCAATGTTACACAAAGCTTAAATTGCTTCCAAATTAAAATTCTATTAATTCAGTACTGCAGTAAAACCAAAACAAAAACATTAGCTTTAGATGCTATTGCATCCAGAAAGAACAATGCCACATCTGAATAAAATTTGGGTCCTTTGGATCTTTTTTGCCCTCTCCATCTCAAAAAGCCAAACCGATGTTAACTTTGCTTTTGTTCTTTCTTTGTCCCACTCTCTCTGCAAAGTAAGGTGATCTCTTTGGTCTGGAAGCCAGTGTTTTGGACTTAGAGCAGACGAGAGATTCCCTTGTGGCTGGGTGCTGGAAATGGCTGGTTGTGGATCGAAAAACATTTCTTATAACCTTGGCTAGGTGGCAGTCGGGGCTAATTTACTGACCCGACTTAGACAATGCAGGGCAGAGTAGCTGGAATATCAATAGAAGCACTGTAGACATCAGACTGTAATGGAGGGGTGTAGTATAGTGAAGAGACACTGAGTCTTGTCCCGTTGTCACTTGATTGATCAGGCAGTGTGTCGAATCTTAGTTAATGCACTTTAAATATTTTGCCAGGAAACAAAATAAGGTAATGCACTAATCCACAGGTGTTTATTAGTGTTTGTACTTGTGTTTACTGTGCTGTTTTTTCCCAACCTGCCTCTGCTGCCTGCATCTGTAGGTTCAGAGAGAGACTCCTGTGAACCAGGTATGGGATTGCACAGAGAAAGTAGCTCACAGGATGCATGATAAAACACACTGTGTCCCAAAAGCTTATGCTTCCTTGGTATTCTGTCTGAAAGTTTACTCACTAAAGCCAGTAAGGATGAAAGCAAAAATAACATGGTGGAGACAACTTTGTTTTCCAGGGTGGGTTGTTAGAAATAGCCCCATGAGGACTGGATGTTTTGGTACTACTGAGATAACTCAGTCAGTGAGTAAACATAAACTAATTTGAGACCAAGCCTACATAAATAGGAAGTTTCACCAACTCTCCTGTGCACAGTGCGCTATATAAATTTAGTCATTTTTTATTTCATCATATAAATGTTGTCACAGTTACATAAAAGCATTTGAATGTATGAATGCATTCAAGGTCAAGTTCAGTCACACCATACTTCAAGTACTCCACCATTGTCTATATTTATGCTTTTAACAAATTATTTATATGTGCAGCAACCACTGTAATAACCAGGTAATATAAGTATTTTGTGTTATAGACTGTTTACAAACTCAAAAGCAATCACTTGTCAGAAAGCAAGGGAGCAAAGAAAGGAAGCTACAAAGCCAAAGTGGGACACAGCTGCAGTGAGCATGAGATACTGAACTGAAATAAGAAATGATTCTGTTGTCAAGCTGTGCTTCTTATTTTGCACATAACCTGCCACCGCAGCTTTAATAATTAGACCAACTATGAGTTATCCATGGTTTTGTCTCACTAGTTTGCTTCATCTTGTAACAGTTGTTTTATGGAGAACTGCATTTCTGTTATACTTTTGTGCAAGGCTTAAAATGTCAAGCTCATTAAGATATGCTCATTGTACACATGCAGTATGCTGTGTTTATTTGAGCAGGGATTGTTGTTTGTTTGGAAGGCTTTTTGTTGTGAGTTTCTGTTTGTTCTTTTAGATTGTGCTCCTTAAACCACAATCTAAGAGTGCCAGGGTGCATGTGTGAATAAAAGCATGGTCTGGTAGCATAATTTTTTGTTTTGTTTTTTAGCTGGTCTTTAATAAAAGTTATGAGGTTTGTGTAATATTCATTATGTTTGTTTTATTGGTAAGTGACTTGTTTTTATAGAAGAGCTGCAAGTAATTGTGCAGTCCAGTTGATTATATGGGGACATGTCCTGTTCTGTCCTGAGGTCTCTTTCTCTGAAGATGGCGCAGATGGTGTTCACATATCCCACTTGTATTAGTTTTTTTGCAAGCCCAGAAAGAGCAGTCTTTGGAAATGATCAAATTCTGTACCTTTTGCACCTCTCTAATAATTTCAGTGTATTTCTGTTCCCTTTACATTAACCTGAAGATTGATGAGAAGAAAGAAGATGAAGCATCCACCTCAGCTAATCCAGCGTTAGAACTGGAACTAACAGAAGAGAAGCTGCCAATGACACTGTCACGACAGGAGGTAAACCAGTACAGTAACAGTATAACATCAACCCCCACCCCCCCTTTTTTTTCTTTCTTATATTGCATGTAAAATTTTACTCTGCTTTGTTCTTGCAGGTTATCAGACGGCTTAGAGAACGAGGAGAACCAATCCGACTGTTTGGAGAGTCTGACTATGACGCCTTCCAAAGACTCAGAAAGATTGAGATTCTGACCCCAGAAGTAAACAAGGTAGGACTGAGTCTGTCTGGGCATAGAACACATCATCAGTTCATACCAAAGCCTCTACTTTGACAATTTGCATTGTACTATCATGAGCTCCTTTGTGATGACAGCCCTTCTACACACCTACCTTAAGCATTACCTTTCTTTGTTTAAGCTGTCACTTCAGATTTGAGTGTATTATGTGATTTAAAAAAAATGAATTTGTTTTCCTGATTTGTAGGCACAGCATGCTGATTGACACTAGTCATAATATTTTCTCCTGCTTCTGTTCTAGGGCTTGAGGAATGACCTGAAAGCAGCCATGGATAAGATCGACCAGCAGTATCTGAATGAGATTGTTGGAGGAACAGAGCCAGGAGAATTGGACACACAGCATGACCTCAAAGTACATGAAGAAAATACCACTATAGAGGAGCTGGAGGCATGTTTCATACTGTACTGTATGAGGGATGAGGAATGAACCCTTGTTTATTAAATCATTTTGTTTTAGTAAGACCAAGCTGTGGGAAATGTGTGCAACGACTAGTTTGTGATCTTAACTTGTATAGAAGGTTATTTAAAATTTACATGTGGGACATCAAGGGACAACATTTTAATTCCCAATTTTATCAGTCATGTTAAAACACCCTTTTTCAGGATGAAAAAGTGAAGGTTATGGTTGATTTGGTGTGTAATATTCTCCCCTAGGCTCTCGGCAAAACCCTGGGCACAGGGGACGATGACGGCGACCAGGATGTT